AGGACAGTGGTATCCCCAAAATCGGAACATGATTCCATGCGAAATCAATAAACAGACTGAAAGGTAGTCATGGAAAGACATAAAGAGTAAAATGGGGTCACTGATTCAGAGAATGGTGCTGTACGAAAATTCCGATCAATAAAGAAAACTTCGTGTGGTAAAGTCATGTGGTAGCTACAGTAGCAAATAACATTTTGGAAACCTCTAAATTGGATTGGTATTAGCTTAGGGGGGTGGATTGTAAAGAAAAAAAAAACATCTGTACCTGCATTATCAGTTACAAAGCTGATGAGACAACATGTACCGATCTACCGGTGGTAACACCTGGAATTATTCGTAAAATCAGTTGTTACTACGAACCGGTATCGAATCTTTAAATACGCTTGTGGGATAAAACATACTAGTGGAGGTTTTCATTCACCCTCCTATAACTGGTAACATCCCTATAACAAGTGTACACCCGAACAAGACTTAACTTGTGGGATTAAATTCTGCAGGGGTTTCAAGTGTTAATTCCCCTAATTTCGAGAACATCCCTAGAACAAGTTACCGATTGAAAAGGACTAAATGTCACAGACTCTGAAGGTGGGTGGAAGCACTAAGGGCCCTTCAAGTGCCCCATTCACTGGAAGACGTTTGTAAAACTAAAAAATTAACACAAAACTACCGGTAGTATAACATCTTTCAAGACTACAGACATCGGGAGTCCAAATTTAAATAAAACCGCTGGTGACGTTCACATCGGGCTAGTTCTTCGGGTTGCGTGTCTCTAGTAAAACCGGTTATCCCTGGACATCTGGAAGTGATGTTTAAAGTATCTAAAGGGAATAGTGTAGAATCAAATTTAGAAGGGGTGTTTTCTAAATTGAAATATGTTTTTACTAGAGACAATTTGATCTTGGTCGGTCTTAAGTCACTCAACGTGGAAATGAAGCCGGAAGTGCCGAATCCCTTAAATCGCGTATGCAGTGGATGCTTGCGTGTGTCATGCAGAAAGCATAGGGGGCATTGTTAACGGAATGTTAACAACCGGATTCATGCTAGGCTGACAAGAGTCTCAATCTGTGTGGACATCAGCACCAGTGTTAAATAAGTAAACGTGACGTCATGGTGAAATTTTTCCAATAGGGAAAATAAAACATTTGCTAGCAATATCCTTATAGAATTAGACTATCACTCTGTGATGTAGTTTATTTTTGCGTTTAAGAAGAATGGCTACAGTCTACATGTATGTTGAGAACAATGGACTATAACTGTTATGTAGCTTATTTCTGTGTTAACACATGACTACAGTCCATATGACTATCACTCTGTGATGTAGTTTATTTTGTGTTAATAAATCGCTACAGTCTATTGTGATCAATGTACTATAACTGTTATGTAGCTTATTTTTGTGTTAACACGTGACTACAATCTAATTTGATGAAACTTTTTGAAATACCGGGATCTTATTTTTGCATTCCATTTTTCTTTTCATTTATTTATGAGAATATTTGGAACGGACTATCACTATATTTTTGGTGATGTGACTGGCTGGTGAATGAACAGCTTATCACAGTCTGTTCTACTGTTTATTTATTTTTTGTATTTTTCTTCGGCGGACTATCACCTCGGTGATGTTGTTAGTACTAACAGCTAATGACAGTCTGTACGAATATTTCAACTGGAATCCACTTTATTTTATTTATCGAAAGGAATTTTGAGTTTGTACATGGACGAACATGTATTTATAAGTAGCTCCTTTCAAATAAAAGTGGGGAGAATGTTGTGTTTGTGCATTTTCCCACCTTCACCCGCTGTGCTCTCCCTGCGCGGAGAGCGCGCAATTACGGTAAGTACTGCGCACACCAGGTGGAGAGCCCAACTTCCCTGCCTGATCCCGGTGAGTACAACTCAACCACAGCTACCGTGCAGACGCGTACGGTACCGACTACGAAAATTATCAGAATTGAGACACAATACACAGTGATCTACAATCTCACTCCGTAAGTAGAACCAGTGAATACTTTACAACCAAAAATGCAAATTCTAAGGACGACCAGCTGCTATGGTCATTTCTTGTTATATTCTGGTGCACACCAATCCTTCTGAGATGTACCCAAGCATCTCTAGTGCGTGTTCTTCATAAATTTAAGAAAGTATTATGTTTTAACACTGGGAAGACGATGTGCTTTGCTCCACAGTTGCTCCGGTGATAATCCTAGTACCCGCCATGTTGAAAATAGGTCACAGAGTTAGCATCGTTATTTTACATTTAGTTTCTACAGCATAAACAAATTTAAAAAATGTATTTAAGCTTCATACGTTCGTCTGCAAGGCAAACATAATTATTTTAAGGGCTTTTCATAAACCTATACATGGTTTTGACTTATTAATTTAGTTGAAGAAACAGTTTAGCATTTAAGTAGTATAAAAATATTCGTTTTTAGGCCCTTTTTAAAATTGTTATAGTTCTTATTTTACAAGGTTTAATACAGAATTTATTTTACGAAATTTATTTTTCAACCCTTTTCTATCAGCACATACCTACATTATATGGATACAACCTGCAAAAAAGAAGTTGTGTGCATTTAAAGAAGGGGAGGGGGTCAAGCATATGGAAAACATGCCTTATTAGAATCAACCTTGTGTGGTCATGACAGTGCCTTTTAAAAAAATCTGTACTGGATATTAAAGGTCTTTCCTTAACTCTTCATGTGACTAACCTAAATAATTCCTTATGATTTTTTAAAAGAATATTTAAAATTATAACTTTTCAAGAGCTAAAAAATGCTATATTTTGGCAAAATTGCCAATAAAAGATCTGCCCCCATATCTCTAAAACTAATGATCCAAAATAGGAAAGCCAGTGGCTCACAATATCTTTTATGTTGATGGTTTACCACACCAAAAATTATTAAAATCTGCTGACCCCCACCTTGCCGCCTTCTGACTGATCTGTCTGGCTTTCTCATGGACGCGCTCTTAATGTCATCTAATTATTTACTTAATTGCTTTAAATAATTTATTTATCTATTGAATATTTATTTATTTATTTATTTATTTATTTATTTATTTATTTATTTATTAAGACTTTCTATTATTTATCCTGTTACGGATTCCCTCTACTATTTTATATAAAATGTGACTTAATGTAGTAGTTGAGGCAACACGTCAGCTTGTTATGTGAATAAATTGTTTTAATAATGTTTCTTTCTTTATTATTTCTAAACAATAATCTATTTTTACACAGGTCGCGATGATGGAAATTTATGTACGGAGCATCTTTAAACTTTTTGAGACGGGGTGATTTGTTGATCATGCTGATGTGCGATGCTGATGCATGTTACAAATTCAATTTTTGAACACGGAACACTTCATATTGAATTAAACTGATACAAAATTAAACACTTAAAACATGATCAGCTGCGCGTGCCCGGCTAATGAACAAAAGGATAGTTGGCCACGGGAGTGGCACGCGTTAGCATGGGTTCTAGCCTCTTAAAGCTATAATCCTATCGCCGCAACAAACAATGGGTACCTTCTGGCTGATGTATCCTGCTGTTAATTACACCTAGTTACATGTATGTGCATCTAAACGACACGATGTTAATCCTATACTTGAACGTTATTGCCCGGTGTCGCACGTATGCTTTCTCACTACAGTGATTTAAAACAAGTCGCTAGTGCATTTAAATATAGCAAAATCTGTTCGACAGGGCATTTCTTCACGGCAGCCGTACACGCAGTAATTGTAAAGGCGTGGTTTTACTTTGTTTGAGAAAAGAAAACAATCGCGTTCATCAATTGATTGCGAGCTATAGTAAGACCCCCCTCCTCTTTAACCGATGTCCTACACTGTTAATATACACTGTCAGACTTCCCCCTGTTCCACGCTGGAGTTCACTTGCCCTTGCGCCACTGCTAGATATGTTCTCCTATTCTGTTGTTAATATAAACGTTTTCATTTATTTTTGAATATTGTCATCTCATCACCCATTGTGCGCTCTGAGAAATAGTTTTTTTTTTCCACAGCAGAATATTTTAATTTAAGCAATTTTTCTCATAAATATGACAGGGCGTTTTTTTTTCTCGTTGTTCTTTAAAAATAGACGTAACATTATAGTATGTCGAGGATATATGCTTCTTGGTTCATATAAATCTTACAAGTGCGCTTTTCTTTCATCCTTTGATATCTTCTTGCAGTGACTCGATTCCTGTAGACAAAATGAGTAAATTGATAACCACTTACAAAGACGGCTGAAGAGCTTTACCTTTAAGTATTTACAAATACATACCTTTTTCAAACGCTCACTCGTACCTCCACAAACATTTGGCATTGGTTGTATTTTTGTTCTTTTTTTTCTTCTTTATCTGGCTTTTTTTTTTTTTAGATTTGCCTCAACGATTAGAAATTCGTAAATAAAACTCAGGATGTACCCTTGAACATGTTTCGAATGGTGGAAATCTCTAACATTGGTGTTTACCTCCAAGGAGCTATGCAGATGTTCAAATAGTCTAAATTTGAGAGAAACGCGAGGTGTCAATTGCAGACGATGGTTAAGATACTCTAACTATTCAGTACGAACATGCTGCCACATTACATTGTATGAATTAAATTCACATCTGTACTTAAATATCATTTTATATATTCTAACCACAAGTGAACGTAAGGAACCTAAACATGTACCCGTGTATGTAAGGTCAGTCTAGCGTTGTAAAAATCAACAGAACATAATAGTGTTCCACTTCTTAATTATACCCCAAAGTCATACTTGGGAACATTTAAGACAAATCACAAAATCTGGTTTTCTATGTTTGCATAAATGAATTTATTGTCGTTTAACGTGTCAACGATGACGTGTCTTAGGAGAAAGGTTATTAGGAGGTACAGGGGGCGCTGTATTCAAAAGGTGAACAGATCACGTGAGGAAGGGAAACGATCATTCGAAGTCGAGCTACGCTAATGTACAGACATTCCAGTTTTCCTAAGCTTGAATTTCATATTTCAAACGTCTAGTATGCCAAAGGGAAGGAAATCACAAAAGATAGAGAAAGTGTTTGAGTCAGATTCTGAACATACTGAGAAAGAAATTGAGAGGCCTGAGGTGAGCGAACCTGAGTTGATACAGTCGGAGGGTGTAGCATCAAACAAAGAGGATAAAAATTACTCGACCGAGGAGAGCGGAGAGTTTGAAAATGAAGGGAGTGGCCAACAAATACCAGGTGAAGTTGGCTCAAATCTTGCTGATACTTTCAATTTGTTTAAATCCTATATGGATCAAAAGTTTAAAGGATTAAAAAGAGAACTGTCCGAGAAAAATATAGCAGAANATGTTTTAGTAACTTGATAGAAAAAAAGGAACAAAAATAAACCCATGCACTGTAGTTATAAAAATGCAGATTCAAAACACCACTTTGCATGCCAGTTATTATCTTGTTTACCAAGCAGGGCATTCTTCAAGATTTTAATTTTATTTTTGTTTTAATTCCATTTGCTTCACTTAAATGAATCAGAAGAAAGACATATTAATTTATTTTAATGGTTAGCATATGAAAATAAACATGATTAAATAAAAAAGTGGCATGACTTAGCCAGCCAAGAGGGTTTTAATGTGTTTGTTTAAGTCAAGTGCATTTAAGTCAGGTTGACTGTTTTGAAAAAATGAATTCACCTGAAGGAAAATTGCTTTATGTATTCACCTATAGTGCTGTTATGTTTTTGCTGTACCTATGCTAATAGTAACAGCAGTAAAATGTTTGCTTGAAAATTACACGGCTGGTTCAGACAAGAATTTCGCCCGAGTTTAGGCCGTCAGTGTGTTGATTGGTTTATAAACTCGGGTTTCATATATTTGAAGAGTGAAATGCTTTATCTTCAGGCCCGTAGCCAGCAATTTCAATAGGGGGGTTCTTTTTCTGAAAAAGTGGACTTTTTCCCATAAAAATTTCATGTACCTAGATCAAATTTTACCCAGAGTGGACCTTTTCCAAGCAAAAGGGGCGGTTCTTTCGAACCCCCCGAACCCCCCCTGGCTACGGGCCTGATCTTACTGATACACTAACCATCTTTTGCACTCACAGAGAAAACCATATGCCTCATATATGTACTATATGTATAATCCTGTTAATCACTTAATTTTTGGACATATTGGCCCATTTATTTAGAAATTATCCCCATTTTTTTTTATTTGGGTACTAAAACAACCCCAAATTTGAAGTGTAGCCTTAACTTGTACAAATCTTGTCTTTGTCAAATGTAAAAAGTTGATATTGCATATATCTGCAGATCTTTGATTACGTATATAATTTCTGACTAATAATGAAACAAAAGTGTTGGTGGAATAGGGTTTGGTAGAGAAGTGTCTTGCAAATTACCGACAATGAAAAGTGTAGCTATAAGGCAATGTTTGTCTACTTCTTTGCTGTAGAACTGTCACTACAGCAAGAAATGTCTTCCTTTCAACTGTCATGTTTCAGATACAGTACATATGTACTATAGTCAAATTACATATTTATATGGGCGTCTGAGTCAATGGCGCCTTTAGCCATATTTCTGTTGAATTTAACTGAGTGTTCAAAGCTTACATAATGGATGTAGTCACCATTATTTCTCTATTTGTCTGGTGGTCAAGGGATCCAAGGACTCTGTGTGTTTAGTGAGACCAAAGGTTGTGTTGACCATACAGATATTGCCTTGGGATTAATTTTTTTCCTTGTGTGAAATAAATTTGATTTAAGTTGAAAAAGGTCAAAGTTCTGTCGTTTTTAACATTTATCATTTTTATTTTTAATAGCATATTTATATATTTAAATTTTTAATCAATAGATAGCTTGCTTTTGTGCCTTTGGAAGATCATTTGCTACTCAGTATATAAAATGCATCACTTGTGGTTTGTCCAAGGGTCAACTTGTTAAAAAAAGATTTAAAAAAACATTATTTATTTGTTTTTTTTATGTTTCAGTTACGCCATGTATTTACCAACAAGTTCATTCATGTCAGCTCCACACAGACATCACGTACAGAAACCAGTAATATGAAGGTAAAACATTTTGTTATGTGTGCTTTTGAAAGAGTGGTAACAGTTGTCAGTTGTACACATGAATTTCAATTTTTTCTTGGAATGTTCAAACAATAGCTGGGCCAATTTTAACTAATTGATATGAAGGTTAAAGGTAAAGAATACTCTCCTGTTCAATCTGAGATAAAAATATCTGTTAAGGGGTGTTAGGAATTGTATATGATTTTTTTTCATGGAGTATGGTATAACCAAACATTACCTTATTTTAAGACAAATGCAAATTGCTTAACCTTGCTTCTGAGCTTTTATTAAGGATTATAAAAGGACAATTTGAATAGCAGTTTTGGTATCTTTCTGATTAATATAACATAATTAAAACATTTTAATATCATTGTGAAAAACATACTGTATCATGTGCTATATTCAGGTGGATCTCCTTAGCTACAATGCCAAACATGCAGAGTATAGAATTATGCCACGTTATAAAGTCAAGTCAGAAGGAGATATTGTGAGTAGATTGCAGCTTTTTTTAATAATAATAATGACAACAGTAAATTTGAGACTGTGGATGTTGTGCACCATTAAAACATGATAAAAAACAGAAAAAATCAATTATAGTAATGACTATGCTATATAATATGTGATTATATGACTTTTGAATGTTACATATCTTTAATGAAATTGAAACAGTTTGAAATAGTCTCATTGACAGATAATATTAGAATGGTACTAGCAGCACTCAAACAATTCAATTTTTATGTAAGTTTAATGAGAGTTCCTTGTAATATATCATAGGAGATAAATGTGTATGTATGCACCATGTATATTTGTATGCATATCCACTAGGTCCAAGTAGAGGATCAGATTGTCCTGGAGAGTGTGAAGACAGCTGGGCAGTACCTCAGCGTTAGCAGGTCACATTTCAGTGCCAACCATGTCTACTCTGGCTGGTGAGTACAACATGATCTGTGTGTGTGTGTGTGCATGTGTGCGTGTGTGTGTGTGTGTGTGTGTGTGTGTGTGTGTGTGTGTGTGTGTGTGTGTGTGTGTGTGTGTGTGTGTGTGTGTGTGTGTGTGTGTGTGTGTGAGGGGGGGAGAATGTAAGACAAATGTTGAAATGAAGAGGTTTAAGTCTGCAGTTTGAAGTTTTTCTGTCCATTGGCAATGTGAACTTGCAGACCTCAGAAACATACTAGTCCCAATCAAAATTGTATTGGCTGCTTATTGAAAATTAAATCTTAAACAACCATTAAGCTTTTATACCAAATGTACTAGTCAATTGCTGCCACAAAGTTAAAAACAAAGGTATTAAAACAAAGTTTAAGTTTAAGGTATTTAAATGTATTATCCTGACTCCAAAAATTTAGTAAAATAGATAAAACATTACAATGGCATTGTAATTATAATTTCAGTCATGAGTTGAACCTGTCTGTACGTCACTCTGGTTTTACTGTATACAGACATCTAAAGCCTGGTCCAGAGAATGAAGACAGACTCCTGGTACGTGAAAATTTTACTTCTTTTTCTTTATTGGTTGACAGTTTATACAGTTGCAAGTTAACCTTGAATGCATGTTATTTGTCATTTGAATTGGTTTTCTAATACAAAATTTTATTAAACATACAGATGTTGAGAATTTATTAAATAGTAAGTAGAGATACTGTTACAGTATGTTTTCAATTGTTTTCTAGCCTGGTGCTCCCATTCAGCTCTTCCATAAAGACATAGAAGCCTATCTTGTAGCCGAGGGATCATTTGATGAGGCGCTGGTAGAGGATGTTCATTTACGAGTACGACAGCTCAATCAGAACAATCCTCGGACCCTCTATCCTTCTTCCTCTGCCCTTACATACTGGCAGGTTGAGGCTGCGGAAAGCGTTATTAAAGGTAGGTGTGAGACAATTGCATCAGTGCTGTAGGTGTGACTGTTATGTAAAACTAGACATTGTGTTAGCTGTGACATTGTGTTATATATGATAGTGAGTCAATATGAAGCACGATAGTAAGATGTTCCAGGTTAAAAGGTATCTTAGACCCCATTCCCAGAGATTAGATCGATCCAACTAGATCGACCTAACTCCCTGGGGGTTCACGCTAAATAGCTGTCAGCCGAGCGGGCACGAAAGTTAACCACCCCCTTACAGCTTGTAGTAGGCGGGACGGACATTTAAGCCAGATTATCTGACAGTAATCTAGTGAGACTCCCCACGGGGATAGATCGATCTAAAATCTTTCGGAATGCGCCCTTAGAGAGTAGACTCCAGTAGATTCTAGAATTTAAGGTGGGTGACAATTAGTGTGAGTGACTATGTTTAAGGTCCCCTAGTGTTTAAGAATGTGATATGACTCTTATGTAGACATTATCTTCCTATTACTGGGTGTAACAGTGCCTTGGATGCAGTGATTAAGTCTTTTTAAAGATGTCATTGTAAACAATGTTGACATGTTATTTAAAGCCAGCCATAACAACTTCTTTTTTCCTCCACCAGGTGGGGTATTGAAGTGGGAGCAGCAGTGCCGTCTGAAGCACATGGTCACTAGGAAGTACCTGACAGTGGACAGCAACATGAAGGTCACCCTGACCTCCGACACCGATCGCAGGACCATATTTCGGTTACATCCAGTTATTAAGGTAGGGTTGATGTATACTAATTATTTCCAATTCCTGTGCTAATAAATAAATGTCTTTTAACATATGATAATTATGCCTATGGGCTGGTCACTTGATGATGGCACACCTAATGGTTTCCCTGCATGAGGAAAAAAGGTATAGCTGTTATATGCAATATAATTCTATTCTTTATGACTTGTGACTTGAAGACAGATTTATACAGTGTTTATACTAAGGTTTGGAATGTGCCATTTTTGTCAGTAATTATAGTTGACTTTTGGATCATGCCAATACATATATGAGAGGTAGTAAATGAGGCTGACTGACTTTCTCATACATAGTATAAACCAAAAAATGTACATACTATTGATAAATAATTAAATAATTTTTTTTGCTTACTGTAATACTGTCAGAATCAACTGAAGTACTGGAGGGGGAAGTCAAATAATGTATGGCTTATTAATCCATGCAATTATTTCAAATTCAAGTTAACATTTTTAAGAATAGAAGAAGATTTATAATTGTTGAGCATTCTTTGACATACATCTTAGGCTTTCTGGCACAATGGAGTGATAATGGTAGGGAATGACTTCATTGTGTTGGGTGTGATAATTAAATTTTGTGTTGGGTATGACAATATTGTGTTGGGTGTGATAATATTGTATTGGGTATGACAATATTGTGCTGGGTGTGACAATATTGTGTTAGTTGTGACAAAATTGTATTGGTTGTGGTAGTGAGGTATATGGCCATCCTCACTTTTTGTTTTGAATTAAATGAGATGTTTCTGCAATAGAGTGCATTAGAAAATGTGATTATATATTTTGTTTTGAATTCCAGAATTTGCAACACTACTTCCTATTTTATCCGTTTTTTTTTTCTTTTTTTTTGTATTGTGTTTAAGTTATGAATGGAAGCTAACCAGTTTATCAAAAAGCTCGTCACAGTTTTTGTGTGGAAGATGAATTAATACATCATGCCCAATGCAAAAACAACTGTATTCATTGACATGAGTGTATTAAAAACACGCGAAGAAACAAACCTATGCCAATTCACTACCATCTGTTGCACAACAAATATGAAATGCAGAAATTGTTGTCACTATGAGTTTACTGTGTATTTTTATTTCTCTGAAAATATCATCCACATTTACATTATCAGAACCAGAAAATAGATCGTGAGAACACCCGAAAGGGACCCAAGGGGTTAAAGGTAATGGCTGCTATGGTGGCCGCTGGGAGTTGCTTGCCTGTGAGATTATAATCGCCATTTTCTGTAACAGTCAATAGCACACGAATTGATGGTGTGATTTTTAGATGGCCTGACACATAACGATTGATTTTCATGGAAATTTTTTTTGCTTGAAATAGTCAGAATTAATCCAAATAAGCTTTTTGTGTGCCGTCACCATTATTGACCCTTGCCACTTACACCACAAATCACTGGTGTTGAATCATTGGTATCATGATGCTTGGATTTGATTAACTGCTTGTTTTTGCTATACCAGTAGATAAACTTTAAAGATATAATTTAATGTTGAGAAACAACACTTTTTTTAAGCAGAGGTAAAAAGGATAATGCATCGATCACTTGAAATATTTTTCACTCGGTTTGTTTTGCCATTTGAATACAGCCATGCATTTTTATTTTAGATTTTATTTTAATACATTTGTGTTGCTTTTTATTCACCTCGCATAAGTGATAGGACTTATATTAACTAAGTGAGTGTATTAGATTATCATTTTCTTAGTATCAGAGATACTGGTAACTTTTACAATTACACCACTGAAATGTTTTAATTATCTGTCCCTGAAACAATCATAATTTATAATTCTGATATACGCTTAGCATTTCAAACATTTCAAGATATGCAGATATTTCAGATGTGTTGACATCGAAGCTAAAGACAGCAATGTCTGTGGATAAAATTTATCTGTAGTTATTCAGGGGCGGATTTAGGCCGTCTTCTGGGTCTTCCGGAAGACGGTCAGATTTTCAAGTTTACATTGACGGATATCTAATTTTTTCTGTCGGAAGACGGTCAAAAAATGGAGAATGGATCAACAAATATAATATGGAAGACTGTCAAAAAATATATCTGGATCCGCCCCTGGTTATTTGTATTATAAAAAAGACAACAATAAAAAAATATCTATTTTATGTTCCAGGAAGCAGACTCCATAGACTATGGTACTTACTGCAGAATAGAACAGGTGGTTACGGGATACTGGCTTCACGCTGAACCTGGTAAGTGGCCTGTCGTACTGCTTCAAAGATATTCTTGTTCATATTTAAGAATTGTGGGGGGTCAACCGAGAATTAGTTATTATAATAACTTTCTTTTTTATTACATGATAATGATAATTTATTGAGCATTAAATGCCGTTATACATTTATGGGTTCTCTTAACTATTGTTTATAATAACTACCGATGTAACTTTTCACCTGCAAACTACAAAAAAAGTGCCAATGTATCCTCCATTATGCATACTTCAAGATCAAAGTCATTTACTCAAATAAAATGAGATTAATGAATGTTTTTTTTTTTTTTTTTTTGGGGGGGGGACTCAAAATTTCATAGGGGGAGTCACATTTTCATAATGAAAATCTGACTGGGGAGTCACATTTTAGGGGAGTCAGATTTTCATGGTACACCGGTACAATAGGGATTAACAAAGAACACATTTTGCATTAATTTCATAATCACAACAAACACATTATATGTGTAACTGGGCACATAAGAGGCTTAATTTAATTCTGTTGGTGATGTAAGCTTTCTGTATTCTAGATGAATATGTGAGACAAGACGACAGAGTGGGTTCCCAGGGTGATGATACGTCTATGGAGGGACTGAAATGGACATTGGCCAGCCTGAGAAAGGTAGGATTTAATTGGGTTATTTGATTATTAAACTACAAAGAAAGGGAGTTATATTTTTGCTGGTGCCTTTAGGTGAATCTTTTTAATCTTGTCACTGATCTTGATATTGCTGTAAGTGCCAGAGTATGACTGTTGTTGAATTTGAGCTTAGATATAATAATTATTTCAAATAGGAGAATTTGCTTCTGAAAAAAAATTATAAAACAGTATATATTAAAATGAAAGAAAGTAGAGGTCTTACAGTGATTAACATAATTTACATTACATAATGCATATGTTTTTAGGTGTCTGTAGAAAAAGAAATGCAGTACAATGATGCGTTCACCATACAAAAAGTGGCCCCAGACCTGGTGGAAAACTTCAACTGCATGGCGGGCATGGTGCCTTTTCTACAGAACTTGATCAAACAGGTCAGAATGCATTTGTGTGTGTGTGTTTGTGCATGCATGTGCATGTGAGTGCATGTATGTGTACAAGTATGTGCACACTTGCATGTGTATTCATGCATGCATATATGCATGAATACAATCGACAGGCATTTATCCAATGCCAGAAAAACATTTGTGTATATGGGTATATTGTGAAAAGTTGATGGGATTAGTATACTAGTACATGTATGTTGGGTTGAACAGTATATTTATGCATACATATGCGCTATTTGCATGTCTATTTTACAATTATAGACTGAAAAGTTATGAAAACTTTATGACATATTTTCTTCTTGTTACTTACAGAAAAAAGCTGGTCAGAATTTAACAGCCAAACAAGCCCAAGACATCAAAGCTGTAAGTATGATGATATGGCACACACATACTTGTAGAAAATTTAAAAGGGGGTTGGCCAGGGTCTATTTTTTAAGAGATCTTTTACCATAATAGCATTTTTTCCCAGTTAAAGAGGCAGTTATATACCCCAGTACTTGCGTGTCATATATTTTATAAATAATCTGTTTCAAACCAAAATATTTTAAAAATATTTTGATATGTATTTTACAAATTTTTAAATGCAGAGCACTGGCAGACATTAGACATTGGTCTTTTGATGAGGTACTTGTTTGTTTTTTTCCAGTCCTTGAAAGAGATGTCCAACTTCATGTTTCTGAACAGTGAACCCAGTAAGAAAAGGCAGAAACTGCTCAGAAATCTTCGTGTAAGCGTTGACTGTTTTTTATTCAATATGAAAATGTCATGGCCAAATGTATTGTAAATAATTATAAAAATACAGAAAGTATACGATAAAAGATTTAATTTACTAGACTAAATATGTTCTGCTGACACTGAATAGCATGTTGGGAAATAGACAAAAATATGAGATATCATTATGATCATGTGACAAAATTAAATGTTAAACCATTTTGTAATTTTCCCTCCAGATTGTAGAGCTGCTGGTCAAAGTGTTGCTGATACCATATGTAGGCAGTAATGACAAAAGGTTAGGAATGTTCTCTTTCAGGTTTTATATGATATTGATCTTGAAGTTCCAGTTTAGATAACCAAGAGGTCTTCTGGGACAAGATGTTTTTTTTAAATTAAAAATTAACTTGTGAAATAATTATCATTTACGCTGTATAGCTATTTTAAAAATCCTTTCCTATTTTAACATGGCATTTGACAATTGATATTATGATTTACAACAGGACTTGTAATAAGCATAGAAAATATTATAATGTAACCTTTATGAAGTTGTAAGTAAAGCACTTTGAATTTCAGAGTAAGATACTCTTCTCGTTTTACCATCATGCTCTCAGTGTTTCTGTTAAGCTGCAATTAATGGAGATGGGAAGAGAATAGTGTCCAACAACACTGTGAAACTAAAGGTTAAGTTATCAATGAAAATAAACAAGGTTTACTCTTTTTACATCACCAGGCAATAATTCACTTTTTTTTGTCTGTTCCTATTACAGATATCTTATAGACATTTTCATAGAAGCCTATGACGTAATGAGAGCTTACCTGGTTGGAGATAGTAGGAAGAATGAGCTGTACATTGCCAAACATATTCCTTTTTTCCTGGACAGAATAGAACAGTCTCAGCACACAAGAGACTCCCATGAAGTAAATGTCTGTCTGTCTGTCTGTCCGTCTGTCTGTCTGTCCACTCTGTCATCTATCTCGCTCACACTCTGACACACACACCTACATGTATTTGTCTGTCAATTTTCATGTATTCTGAATGTATTTTGAGGTGCATCTAAACAGTGAAATTAAAATTTTAGAATTTATTTCCTACTTTTAAAAAACTTAATTAACTCTGTATGTTCTGGTCATAACTTTACATATAATTCCCATTAATTCTTTATTAGGAAATGGTCAGTTTACATGCTGCCTACATGGTCACTGAGCTGATCAGAGACAACAGGAAGATAGTGGACAGGATGACCACTGCCCACATTGACAAGTTTATGAATTTGTTGAAAACTAAGAAGGTAAGATGATTATTTATTATGTCACCTTTTCTTTAGTTCTTTTTCTGCATATGAATGTTTGCCAATTGATGATTTAAATTTGTAGAAGAGGAAGAGTATTTGCATATTTTATCTAGTTAAATTAAAAATTTTTGAAGAGATAGAGTGTTTTTTGGCTAGATTAATTTTGTTTAGGCCTAAAAGAATAACAAATATTTGAATATTCTTTGCCAATATATCATTGTTGAAGTTTATTAAATAAAATATATTAAATATCTGATACCAATCCTTCTATAGCAGTAGTGTTTTAGCAATGCTGTCTTTTCTTTGCCCATTCCAGTCAATTATTCCAATTATCTTTTTGCAGAACTACCGTTACCTGGAGTTACTTAGTGTCCTCTGTGTTTGTAACAACATTGCCATTCCTAAGAACCAGACCTATATCACAGATGTCTGGCTGAAGGACAACCAAAAGGTATGCAATATTACATTTCCTTTTTTTCCTCACTTTCAATTATGCAACTGGCATAGGCCTCGAATCAGGGAACAGAATATTTTGCATTAAAATTGATTTTAGAATGGAGGAGGGGATTGAAATGGGTTTTATAGGGGTAGTTATGCTATCTAGACACATTAGTTCTTCATTTGAGTCAAGATTGTATCATTTTACCTCTTGGTCACTCCTCCCTTGCTCAACTCGCCCTCAACCTTGTTCTATACTTCTATCACCTCGATTGCTGCACCTCAATCCTTATTAGTCTGCTGAGGGTCTATTTGTGCCTATAAGTTACCTGTATAGTGCCCTATACCTTGTTTGCAATTCACTATGTACAGGGACATACACATATGTGCTTAATTGCATAAAGAAGTGATGTGGCAAGTTTCAACGAAATGCAGCACATTCACTGATTTTGTTTAAATTTAGGCAGTAAGTATTGGAGTACATACATGCTGAGTATATGGATACTGATAAGTATTCTTGAGTATTCAAATTCTTTTTTTTTTTGGAGTCCTGGGGATGCTTTCGCAAAGCCTCTTAATACCATAAGCTATCCTCTAAATGACAGAGTTGGTCAAATCCTAATATTAAGACACTGTAATGGCAATTGATACCAGAATTTTTTTACCAGAAATTGGCCGTGTGAAATCAACCCCAGGAATGTGTCAGGCAAATTTGGCATTGGCTGCAGCAATAACTTGCAGATTAAGCTGCAAATAAGAAATCAATTCCATGTCAAACATCTTTCTGCCTTCTTCATAATGCTTTTTCATCATGTTTGCTTGATATTAATAGAAGAAAATTAATGCTTTGCTGGCTTTTGATTAAAAGGCCTACTTGCATACTAGGCTGTTGCCTATATTATTATCTCACACTTTTCTTTTTTTATTTTGTTGCCTAGTAAAAATTAAAAAAAAAAAATCGGTGTCAGTTTTTTTCCAGTTATACAATGGAGCTTGACTCTATCCAGAAATATTCTGTACACTCTAGCATTATTCTTAATATTTTCATTCATTCCTATAAAATGATTCTTATATGTAAAAAGATCTCTTCTTTTACAATAATGATATTTTTTCAGGGGAATATGTAGTCAAAAAATCATCAAATCATATTCATTGTTAATAGCTGATAAACAAAAGAAAGAAAAAAATGCACATATCCTGTATACATTGTATCTTTTAGATTCATTAAGGCTTAGTGTGAATGTCTTTCATGCTTTAGACAATTTACTGGTATGTGAAAATGCCCCAGTTTGGCAGGAGATTTAAAGTAAATTTGATTTTTAAAACAGTGATATTTGAAGGATAATTTTTTACCAATTATTTTTACAAACTGTCCTACATGTTAAAAGAAATGTTATAATGCTCATCATTAAGCATAAGCACAAGAAGAAAAAGAAGCCATCTATTAATGGGTCAAAGCATGTGAGTAGGCTTCCATAGATGATTGTGATGGCTTGGACCCTTAGTTGACCTTAGCTTGTTGACCTTTTGATATGTTGACCTAAGTGATATATTGGTATTGGGGACTTAACTTTTAGAATATTGTTTAAGTATGCAGTTTGTAAGTTCACATTTAAAAAAAAATTGGTAGAAAGAATGTAATGGTTAGCAAATGTTTCGGTTAATTACTATTAGACTGTCTTTCAAAGTGACAAAATTGGAATTTTTTAAGTGTTTTAAGTCGCTTTTAAATTTTAAACATTTCAGTGGTCAAAATTAAAACAAATTCGCGAATTTTGGAAATCTGACAAATCAAGGGAAAAAGGCCAAAGAATGATATAGTTTTCTTTGTGAAAGTGCAAACTGCATACAATATTTATGAATTATTAAGTTATTATCAGCTTGCTTCTTTATGCTTTGCTTAGCTTAGGCTTTCGCTTTGTTTTCATTATATATAATACAATACACAGCTGGGACCAAAAAGACATGTAAGTACGGCACGGCACAGTTTTGTTTTTATTTGCTGATGCACTTTATTTTAGAGAATATGTAATTTACATTTGATATTGTATGAATTTTATCATTTTTTTTGTGTTTTCATAAAAATTGTCCTTGAATTGTATATTTTTTGCCATCGTGGATATGTTCAATGTATTGTTTACACTTTATATAACCACTCTTATGTGATTTTGTTTGCTAATATGCAATAATATGTACAAAACAAAGTGTGTATTGATGTACAAGCCACTGCATAAAACCGTATGTCTTTTATACAAAAACACAAGTTCAGTTGCTTGTGGATTAAACCATAATATAAAAAATATGACTGGTAGACCAAAAGTGACACATTTTATAATAATTTTGTCACATTTTAGGGATCTTCTCTGTCACACCTAACAAATTCAAACATTTCTCTCTGTCACACCCAATACACTAATATCTCAAATTCTGTCAAATCTGCTTCAGTCACAACTAACACATTGACACATTTCATCCTGGCACACCTAACACACTTTTACTTCTTATTCCTTTCCCCCAACACACTTTTACATCTTATTCTATCACACCTAACACAATTTCAAATCTGATTTTGTCATGCCTAACACAACTTTCACATCTAGCACACTTCAACATCTGATGCTGTCACACCTACCACATTGTAAAACTTAGCCATTCACACCTATTACAATCTTTTTCACGTCTTTTTTTTTGTCAAGTTCTCTTTCCCAACATTTAAGCAAATACATATTTTTTTAACAAAAAAGACAAAAGAGGTGTAATTTAGTTTGTTTGTACCTGTATGTTGTAACATTTTATACCACATACCTTACAGATTTTTGTGCTAACACCTATTCCCTCTGAGTCTGACATGTTGAAATTTCCCTCAGACCGTGTATTATTTGTTTCATTATAATGTTTATTCTGAAAAAGATTATATGAAAGATTAAACATTTGGGTTGGATATTTGTCCCAATTTTTAAGTCAGTAATCTGAGAATGAGCTGTATAAAATATTTAGAGAATACAGTAGTTGTATCTACCAATAAACTTTTAACATGAATATTATAACATATATACCTTTGTACTGATATGTTGAAGAATTGTTATATTACTCACCTGGATAACATTATCATTGTGACTGTCAGTCCCATTTTTATTAACCTAGAAATTATAACACTCCTTTCATTACAAATTTTAAATTGCTTTGATGATAACAAGCCTTGTATTAAGACATGTTAATTATTGCTATATTTTCGTGTAATGTTGGATAAATTGAATTCATTTTTTGTCAATTAAATATCCAGTAAGAACTTGCACTTGATCTCTATTTACTGGCTTGCTCTGACTGCAGAACTGCACATATTTTACATCATATGCCGGTTTTTATTGCTAAGCTATTAATTCAAAACTGCTGTGTGTACCCATTCAAATATTTATAGCATTAAGATTTTAATATCCAACCAGAACTGTGTGTATGTGACCTAATTATTTTTTGGTGTCAATCCAGAATTGTGTGTACCTGACAGAAATGGGTGAGAACATTAAGCAGGAACCAGGGGTGGTGTACGTCAAAGTGGACCACAGGTCACAGTGGGTCAAGTTACTGGACTTTGCCAAAAAGGTAAGCTCATTTTTTTTAAAGGTGCAGTCAATGTAAAGAAAATAATGATAAAATTGCCAGAAACAATGTTTGGTCATTGTGATGTAATTGTGAATTAAAGCTATGATCTTAAATGACGTTTGAAAGAAAATGCCAATTTACTCATAATTTAATCTTATTTTTTATTCATTTTGATCCATATAATAATAATGATTGTTTGTACGTATTTTATCAAACATTTACCTGAATTGTGAAAAAAAAATACATGGCTTTATTCATAAAATTGTATCTCTTTTTTCAGTATGAGGCCGAAATGAAAGCCAAAAGTGCTGCCCAGGATATCAATGAAGCCTTGGATACCATATCTTTGGCTTCAGAGCGTCCAGGATCTCAGTTGCTGAATGTCCCAGGACGTTCTGGCTCTCAGATGGGGAGAGTTGGAGCAGCGAGGGGTGCACAGTCAAAGGGTATAGTTAAACAGGTAAATATATATATGCCTTTTTTATTTTTAAATAAAAAGAGTTTTAATGTATACCTATGACCAAGTTTTGGTTAATTGAGATTTAGAATTAGAGACTCAGATGGGTCCAGAATCAAAAAAAGATCTGAAGTTGAAAGTTGGTTGTAATTTTTTTATTTACTTCAATCCAGGATAAATCTTATGTTTGTGTACATATCACGTGCATCACCCACAAATCCTTCATAAACTTGATTCTTTTGATGATAATTATTTTCAGAAAAGCTCAGTTGAGGAAGAATACCGTTACCTGGAACATCAGCTGGATTTATTTGAAAATCTTTGCCATGTAAGTTCCTCCCAAAAACATACTAAATACCAAAACATCTGATTCATACAGTACCTGTACATGTTTTTTTTTTATTTATTTAAACTGTTTTAGGATTTAACTTGCACATGATCAGTTTAATACAATGACATACAAAATTACCAAGATTTTCTCTTCAACCAAATAAAAATACATTTAAAAACAAAATGTGTTCATGTTTTCCAGGGTCGTAACGAAGTAGCCATTAAAACCATCACTCAGTTTGTGACATGGCAGCAAGTTTACAGCTGTCTTCAGGATAAGGAACTCCCGGATGCTCTGAAGGCCATCTATGTATCACTGATCATAGGTATGATATAATATTAAAAATGCAGGACATGCAGTAATGACCCAAAGATAAATAATTTCCCCCATTGAAAAGATCGAGGCATTTGTGAATATAAATGCATCAGTTCAAGCATGTGTAGTCAGCAATTTTAAAGGAAGTTTTTTTTTTCTGAAAATAACTGTCCCCTTTGTCCCATTAGTTGACCCAGTGGCTTAGAACCTACATGTAGATCATGTTTTGATTCACAGTGGACCTTTTCTTATAAAAAATGAGAGTTCTTTTGAAGCCTCTAATCCCCTCCCCTTACCTGCTGGCCTGCAAGTTGACTTTGTCTTTACAATTATTATGACTAGAAGCAATTTTCAATGAATATTTAATGAATATTTTTATTAAAACTGGGATGTGCCTAATCTCACAGAGGAAACTCCAATGTGTTGCTTTGTTTTCAGTTCTTTTTGTTGACATTGGGGAGAATATATCTGTTTTGGACCATGTGACCTTGACCTTTGCCTTTGAGGATATTCATGACAGCACGCCAAGGACTGATCGCAACATGTCCGGAGGCGTAAGTGTGCAGATTAAATATTTCTCTGTGAAGAAGAACAGATGGAGCTCTTTCTATAGTTAATGAAGGATATTACTTACTTCCTTGCACTTGTAAATATTTCATAACATCAAAAGAAATGGACAATACCACTAACAAATTAATACATAAATAATAATATAAAGTACATTAAGGAAAAAAGATTTATTCTCTCATTTTTTTACGTATTTAGTATCTTCTGAGAAATGTCACCAACTGATGTATATGTATGTAAGTATGTATGTATGTATGTATGTATGTATATAGGTGAATCATTTTTATTTTATCCTAATAACTTGCTGATTATAATTTTTCAAAATGTTTCATATCACCCTCAGGCCACTGTTCCCCGTGATCCGACCACAGAGCAAGTGTTTCCACATCTGAAGATTTGGATTGAGTTGTTTCTTCAGCAGAACACAGACATGACTGCCTCAGAGATAGGGCACAACCAGCTGGTGATGCAGGTAGGATTGTGTTCTGGTGTCTCAACTAACACAATTCAGTAAACTTTACCCTGGTTAGTGGTACACCCAAGAAACACAACAGGTCTAAAACACTTTCTGATACTAAAGGCTGTGAGCTCAAAAAATGTTGTTTTCTTTTTAGTTTAATTTATTTTTTGCATAAGAAATGTAAGGACTCCAAGAACCTATATACATGTATTAGCAAATCCATTTATGGAAAGGATTTTTTTCATTGTAGACTTCATTTCATATTACTACAAAGCAATACTTTTGTCAAATTCTAGGTACTTCGGCTCATCTACCACCTGGTAAAGTACAGTTTCTATGAGAAGTTGAGTGACATCAAGAAGCTGCTGGGGCCATTACTGAGTCTGCTAGATGGAACCAATGATAAACCTGACTTGGAGACTACAGGTGAAATCTGTTTGTTAATCACTGAATGTCTTGACCGTTAAAAATTCTATTTGAATAAAGATTTGTTTTATTGATTTTATAATTAGGTTGATCAAATGGATTGAAGAGTAATAATCTCTTGAAGTATTTGTCTGTTTTCTGAATATACACACACTATAGTTATCTCTTGCATGTTGTTTATGTTTCTTTGTTTGTCATCTGTTATATTTACTTTCTTATTTCATTCAAATACTAATTTGAAAAATTTTGCAAAATTGTCAGACATAATTGTAAATGTTATTTTCACTGATACAGATTCAGATATAGTACTAGTATCAGCAGGATTAATTTCTGTACCTTATAATTTCATGCTGCTGCTAAACAAATTCGTCTTATGCAAATCAAAGTATTTTTGTATAATTTTATCAATTTTAGGCAAGACAGTGGAGGAAATGAAAGCCTTGCAGTGGTACAGACAACATGGCAGATACAAGGAGAATGCTCAGACTAAGGCAGTGGTGGATGCTAAACATCAGTAAGAAATGGACCTACTTCCATTAAATAGTATATCTTTATATTTTAAATATGCATTCACTATATGTTTTATGTATTGCAAAGAGTACAATAAACCCCTATTGTTATTATTATTATTATTATTATTATTATTATTATTATTATTATTATTATTATTAAGGCTTTTGTGAATTTAACAGTATTAAGACCTTGGGGTTTGTCGCACAAATGCAATTAATTACGAGAGTCAGCACACCTTATACACTCCCACACCTAATTTTGCTGTCACACCCAACACACTGCTGTCACACCTAACACACTGCTGTCACACCCAACACACCAAGCATGAAAATAATGTCACAGCTAACACCCAGCCTATTCCCAAACTTGAAATCATGATCAGTTTCAATCTTCCTACTTCAGAGCCATGCAAGTTATGGACTTATTTTTCAACTTGCGTTTCAACATCCGCCTGGAGCGTTTTGTCCAGATGTTCAAAGTGGTCCACAAACAGGTGCACGGCACGGCACTGGGGAGTGGGCAGGATACCTGGGCGGCACTGGCCCCCTTGCTGGAGGGGGAGTTTGATATCACCAATGACCAGGACCCAAGAGTGGACAGGTAGTCCGTCTGAGTGATTCATTGCTACATATAGTCTGTGGCAACTGAACATAGATGCTGTACTAGTAAAAATTGTTTTTTTTTTACTTACTAGTCCAATAAGGGTTGTGCTAATTTTAGTGTTTGTTTTAGATGCCTATTTCCAACATTTCTTTATTTCTTTCTGTCTTTATTTGCTTATTATTTGGACTGTTCAGTTTTGATTTGGATAATCAGTTTTATATAATTCTCCATTTTTTTTTCAAGTACGATGAAGGTGGCGCTAAGAGAGCTAGAGGCCATGTTTGAAGAGTCAGCATTCTTTAGATATGCATTTGAAGATTTTGAAGAGCTCAGGGGCAAGTCTCTCAAGGACCTGTTGCTGGTGAGTATTTTTATGATGAGTGTTGTAGACAAATATTAAACCTACATGAACACAATTAAAGAAATAATTTATTTATAAAATGAAGTTTGAATGAAAGTTGAAGATTGATATTGATCAGACTTGTATGATACATTTTGATATGATTTTAATTTAAATAATTTATGTTAATGTAATGTGCATATGATTACCTCTAGGATTTGTCCCACTATGAGTATGACAAGATGGTGACCCAGTCCCTGTACTTGCTGACCAGGTATTTCTCAGCACATGATAACTTGTTCAAGAGGGCAGTCCAGGCACAGGTAAGACTAGAATAACACTGACTGCTTTTATGGATATCATATTCAACATAATATAGTGTTCAGTTTTTGCTTGACTTTGCTATCAAACTAGTTTTTGTCTGTGATTAATTTTCCCATTCATGGAGTGAAATGGTGAGAAAAAGTAAAACAGCAAAAACTTGTTTTCTTATAATAATATTTAGTTTACAGTGATCAATTTTTAGGAAGAGAGTTAAATTATACATGTAAAAAAGGAAATTATGTTATAATGGGAAAAATATAACTATTAACATTCAAGATAAAATTAAATGAAAAATATTGTTTCAAGTTTAATGAGCCATGTTTGATATTCTTACAGGTGGTGATCACAGACAACTCTGTGAGAGTCCTGCGAGACCTGCAGAGCAAGCTTCCCTTAATGCGCCGCCTGATCCACTCCAAGATGAACGACGCCCAGATTCAGACCATGTGTTCTATCCTGGACCAGCTGAAAGAGTACTGCTGTCTGCCTGAAGATCCGGCTCAGCCCCATGGGATTAACCAGGATATTCTGTACAATCAAGGTCTGTAGAATGACCATACTGTCACACCCAACGCATTTCATACTGTCACACCTAACACATTTCACACTGTCACACCTTACACATTTCATACTGTCACACCTAACACATTTCACTCTGTCACACCCAACACACTTTTTAAATGCTTTTAGTTGTGTCATTTCATGCCACTTGGGATAAATAGGAATAATTTGTACAACAAAGATATCTTATAGATAAACACATAACTTTAGGTAAATAAATCTTTTTTGGTAATTTTGATCATAGATTATGAGAGCTTTATTTTGATCTTTACAGCCATTCTAGAGGACATGTTCGACATCTTGGCAAAAGAATTTGATGTCAGTCTTGTGGTATGTACAGGAAAAATGGTCTAATATTTTCGAATAAAGTATTCATTTAAAATAATTGTTCCACATCCATAACATAAATTCCGACATACGATGTTCATTACATATTAAGATTCCAATCATGGCTGGCAGTGTACAATGAAGCAGAATAAAACTTTTCTGAAGGTATTGCTTGAGTTTTAGATATTTAAGTAAATCTTGTATTTCTTCTCACATATAACCAAGAATAACTACCTTTTGGCATTTTTAGAAAAATCTTTATGGTAGTGTTTCATGCTAACATCTCTAGTGTAGCAAAATCATTGGTTCTCTCCCCTATCTACAGTAGATAAAGACCTTCTGGAAAAAAGTATTCTTTTAAGGGCTGCCAGGTATAATTGGTTAGGCATAAAAAGGAAAAAGATACTGAGAATTCGGTAGTGTACAGTGTGGCATTTGAAAAGTTCTTTTTTGAGTGTGCATGTTTTTGTGTGCAAGCACAAATTGTCTTATTTATGTTGTCTGTAAAGTGCTTTATCTTTTACAGTCCAATTTAGCAGGCGGGGTAGGTACCTAGACTACTTTTGGTGTAGGGAATTTCTTTGACAGATATGTTGCATTTACATGGCACCCATGTTTTGTCTATCACTTGATTGTGTTAGTTTTGAAGTCCTTTTTCATAATTTTTATCATGTACAACTGTAAATTTTACCCAATAAATGATTTTCAGTGACATAAAGAGGGGCATAAAAAGTGACATAAAAAAATTGCAAATCACTTTCCCAACTCAATTTTAAATGTCATATCTTATTATTAGACAACTTTTCCAAAGCTGTTTAAATCCAAATTAAAAGACTGGTATGATCAATGTGATGACAGACTACATTATGGAGTAAATTTTGTAAATGTGGCATTTAAGTGATGCACAAGATTACTGGTACAAGAGTTTTTGGACATTTGTTATACTATGTATTGCAAACTAAAATGAAGGTATACATTTATGTACCATAATTCTGTGCAAAACTGTGTTAAACTTTAGAAACTATAGTCTACCCATTGACAATCATTCCAATGCATGCATGGTTAATTAGGCATAAACCATATTTATTGCACAAAAAAGTATATTTAAAAATGATCGCACAACAATTACAAATCTGGGGCCTGTATCATGCAGTTCTTGTTAGTTAGTGATCCCTTATTAGCCCCTCTTTAGTAATAAAATTGCTAATTCTTCTTGTTAGCTGGATAGTTCTCTCATAAATTATTCAAACTAATGACAGCTTCATGAACTGGCCCCCTGATTTCTGATAACGGTTGCTACAGGGACAGCCTGAGTTTCATAGAACACCGAAAACTTGCCTCCTTACTTCTCTACTCGGGCAGCGTGCCTCTGACATTCAAAGTATCCACCAAACGGGGTTGATTCAGAGATATTTTCTGACAGTCTTCCAAATTGTCTTTGTTGATCCATCCACTATTACTGAGTCTTACAAATTTTAAAGAAATAAATTAGATGCTGTCAGTGTAAACTTGAATAATTCTGACCATCTTTTTGAAGACCCAGAAGACGGCCTCTGTCCACCCCTGCACAAAAGCTTGGTGATGATAGATGTTTTATGTTTTCAGTGTACTGTAAAATTCAGGGTGATTTGGGGTAATTTTATCCTGCTGGCTTCTCACCATTGCAATGTAGACATACATTTCGTGTTTTCATGGATGATTTTTTATTAAATTTGTTAAATTATACTTTATTTTATAGTAATTTTTTGTGTATATTTTCTTCTCATTGTCAGTGTGGTACTTTGGTATTGTTGCCATAATGTTCTTTGAATTTATGTGTTTTTGTTTCGTTAAAGCTAACAGAGATATTTTATGGGAGATGTGTTGAGTATTATAGTATTAAATGCATGCATAGATTGATATTTATCCTTTGATAGGTTAGTTTTTAGTTCAGGTTTATCTTTAATATGTTCTTCATGACAGTTATTTTTTATTGTCAATAATTTCATAAAAATATAAGGGAAAAATATAATTTGATAATACTGGACTGCAGTGTATCTCAGCAATGATCCAAATTTGCGATATTTGCCACCAATCATCAGCAGGGTACTGGACATTAAGTGTTGCTATGCACTTAAATTCCAGTACTAGATGTACATATATCTTTTTATCTTCTGTGATATCACACTATGGATGTGTCAATTAAGACATTCCCTAATTAATTCAAACATTTTAAGACCTACCTACAGATTGTGTTGCTTTCAGAATATTTTGTCAGAGGGATTATTTTCTTTCAGTTAGTGTTCAATCTTCACCTTTTGCCCTCTTTAATCAAAATGGTTGTTCAGGTGAAAAACATTTTTTTTTTTGCTTTAGAGTTTAAGTTCTGAAAATTTCACAAATTTACTGTTTCATGGTTCACTGAAACAGGATAAGATCTGTATGTGAAGTGTATAAAACATATTACAAACTATCCAGTTTGTTACCATTTTACTTTTTTTTTCTCCTTCAATATGGATTCAGCACCAAGACACAATTCCCACCACCTCACCATATTTGTTCTTGTTTATTTTTTTCCTTGCTCGCACAGAAATCATTTGGTGGGATGAGATTGAAACTGAAGAAAATAGAATTCAAGGACCTCACCAAGATGGCACTGCATGTGTGTGGGGGAAAATATGTGATATGTTTTGTTGGGATATGCCTTGTGTATTTATGTTGTATTTGTGCATTGCATATGTCTGAAGTTTCTGCAAGGCTCTGTAGTCTTGTTTCCAGTCAGTTTGGATGAAACCCACATTGCTGGGCTGTGTGTTTATGACAACCTCACCATGGGAAACCATCTTTAAGTTAACTTAACATGACTTACCTCATTTACGGTGGCAGGACTATATACACTGATATTGGTGTTTGGGAGATAAAGGGATTGGATATGTCGTCTATGGTGAGCTAATCATTATTGATCAGTCTCCTTAGCTGGGTTGTAGCAAAATAGGCAGTTCTTAATTGACTGGAAACACGGCTTTTATCTTACTTTATTGTGTGGTACTGCAAAATATAAATATTCAAATTAGTTTTGGCCAATTTCTCCTATTTTCTTTGGTTATTGTATTAGTTACTGTTATTGTGGTATTTAGTTGGACTGTTACAAATATTACTTCAGATGTGACTATGGTACATTCATATTTGATGTATGTATATATATTTTATGATAAGTTTGCTTTTTTTTATTTATTTATTTATATTTTATTTTATTTATTTATTTATTTATTTATTTATTTATTTATTTATTTATTTATTTATTTATTTATTTATTAAGAATGCTGATGAAGAGTTTGCTATTGGTATTTGGTTTCATATTCCTGCTTCTCCTGTGGCTTTAAAACTTGAAAATCTCAAACAGAAAATCTGATCAACTTTAAATTCCTTGAATTCCGTCTTTCATTGAGTTGCTTGGTATCCGTTCACACAGATTTTAAAAACATAATCAATTTTCTAAGTCAAATCATGATGACAAACCTGGCTTTCTGAATTCTTATACTCACCTGATGTGCAGATAGTCAATCTCTTTTTTTTATCTCTTTTTTGCTCAGTGATTTTGCTTTCAAGAAGTTATTTCATTTCTGTAAAATTATGATTTACTATGGATTTGAGAACTGTTATGATCAACAGTGACCATCCTTGAAAATGATACTATTTTTAAATTAATTTTGTTTGTTTGGTGTTAAAGTTTTACTGTTGATCTGTTTGTATTTTTATGGAATTTACATTTAAATTAATAATTAATCTCTGCATATTTTGTATGGTATTACTAGGTATTATCTGTATGTATTTGTCTGGAATTTAAATTAGAAATTAATTACTGTATGTTTTGCATGGTACTGTATTACTAGGTATTATCTGTATGTATTTTTATGGAATTTAAATTAGAAATTAATTACTGTATGTTTTGCATGGCACTGTATTACCAGGTATTATCTGTATGTATTTGTGTGGAACTTGAGTTAACAATTAATCTCTGCATATTTTCCATGGTGTTACCAGGAGCAGTACCGTGGCCTACAGCAGGTGTTTCAGAAGGCTCTAGGACTGCTGACTGTGATGGCGCGGGGTAACGCCAGCGTCCAGGAGAGGCTGTTCAACCGTCTGGACGTGTTGCTGAATGTGAAGGGGGCTGAACAGGAGTTGGGAGAGGCTTTGGCTGAGGTAGGGTATTGATGATGGTGATGATGACGATGGTGTTTAATGGATGCATGACAAAAAGATTTCTATAGAGAGATCTCATGTGTGCGCACACACATACACACACACGTACAAAGAGGTATAAAGAAAGAGTCCAACAGCTTGATACAATCAACATTGAGATAAATAATAAGTTTTAGAAATAAAGCCCATTTCCATGATCAGCTCGGTTCTGGCTTTCTGGCAGAAATGACTTGACATCACTCTTTTCCAGTAACTTCAAAGCACAACCATGTTGTCAGTTTCTATTTCATAAGGAGAATGATGAAACATTTGAGTTCTTTTTATGTAAGAGAAAAATACTACATCTGTGCAGGTATTTTACAAATATTCTCTTAATTCTCTTTCTCTTCTCTTAGGTATTCACAGGTAACAAGATGACATGCATGAGGATAATGCCGCACCAGGTGAAGCGTGTGATGGAACTAGTGGCGCAGCACCACCTAGATGTGCCGCAGTTCTTAGACCTGCTGAATGCCGTCGTCAAGGTCGAAGAGCTGGACCTGCCACTCAAACGTAACCAAGGTTACGTCATGAAATATTTTATGGAGTACCGCACGGATGTGGCAGCCATTGTGGATAAACACAAAGACAGATGGTGAGTTGAGCGGTAAACAGATTAATATTTGAAAAATTAAAGTGCATCAAATTTTTGGTTTTAGTTGTAGATACAGAAATATCAAGTTAATCTTTGGGAATTCATTTTTGACCAAAGTTAAGGATATTGACCATATATTTTAAATTTTATGATATACTAAATTTGCCAAATGTAGATTCTATGTCAAGAAATAAATACAATATTGTATGCAGACATAATAATGGGACATTATCAGTCGTCATTCATATCCATGATTTTTCCTATGTTACTACAATTTAGTATTTGATGATAATAAAAGATACAAATTCTCTCAAAAGAGACTATGAGGACTTTCTATACACCTAATGCATGTATGTGGCATAAAAATTTTGACCCTTGGTCTAAGAAACGTTTGACTATTGTACAGACATTACTCAAGAGACGATGAAAAAGCTATTTCAGTGGTTGTTGTTCATTATTTCAGTGTGGCCCTACTGACAGGAGAAAGGAACAAGGAAATGATCTACTTGCTGGCTCTGGTAGATTTACTGGCTACATGCTCTGAGGTACGGTAATAACTGTAATTGTACTGGCTACATGCTCTGAGGTACGGTAATAACTTTAATTGTACTGGCTACATGCTCTGAGGTACGGTAATTACTGTAATTGTACTGGCTACATGCTCTGAGGTGTGGTAATTACTGTAATTGCACTGGCTACATGCTCTGAGGTGTGGTAATTACTGTAATTGTACTGGCTACATGCTCTGAGGTACGGTAATTACTGTAATTGTACTGGCTACATGCTCTGAGGTACGGTAATTACTGACTTACTCTGAATTTTCTCCTTCAAAGTCGATTGTTTTAGTAGTCTAGAATATAAATCTAGAAATATGTGTAGATTTTTAAAAAATCGACTGTGTTTATATATTTTATTATAATAGGATGTTATTAGTCTTCAGGAACCTTTGTTATAATAATTTAAATTTAACAAGGTAAATTCCTTTTTCTTCCAGGGTGAGAATCGATTCATTGAGTCCATCTGCCAGACCATCTTCAGCGTGAATGAGCTTCTGGACATAATAACTGACCCCAAGATCAATAATCATCGCAGGCGGCCATATTTGAGGTTTCTGCTCTGGGTCTATGTGAACACTGCCAGCAGTCTGATTGAGATTGGAGCAGGGGACCTGCCACATGACAAGTATGGTTATTTTTTAAAAATCTTTTTAAACAACTCGATCATTTCAACCAGAAAACTTGATGTCCAGATTTTAATTCTTATGGTTCAAAATTATCAAACAATTGGTAATATCTTAAGTTTTGTCAACATAATTCCTGTTTTAAAGCAAAATGAGACTGTATGTCAATTTTGTCTGTATAGGAGAGTTTGGGACTTCATGAAAAACCTTACTCTAGAGATGGAAAAGGTGACTGAATATGTGAAGGAAAATCAGACCAAAGCCAAGCATCAGCTGGAATTGGGCCCAAGTAGAAAGTAGGTCTTTTATGACTCTTACTAGTATACATACTCACTTTAAGTATTTATTTATAATAGTGCATTGGATTTTATATGGCCATCCATCATAACAAGCTTAGGTGCTTTAAGTAAAGGATGCACATTTAATGAATAATATTTTTTCATGTAAAATGGATAAATTGAAATGTGTTATAGATATCAGACTAAAAGGATTAGAAAGATAACTGTCAATAACTTGGACAGATAAACGAATATTTTCAGAGAATTGAAATGTTATAAAATTATGGCTATTGTTTCAGTGATTAATTCCTAATTATTCTCACTCTTTCCCTATTCCAGAGACGAGTTTGTAGAGTACTATCATGGCACCTTACATTACTTCATCGAGGCTGTCTTCCCGTTCCTTCAAATCTTCTTCCGCCAGGTTTACGCCCCAGAGCCAGAAGACGAGAAACATCAGCAAGAACCAGAGATTGTGGACAAACTTGCTACTGCTCTAGTGGTAAGAAGATTTGAATTTAAATTGAGTTTTTTTATGCTTATTTTTAATCAAGGTAAAGTTGTTAAATTTGATAGAAAGTCAAAAGATTTTTAGTGGTACGTAATGTGAATTCATAAAATAACTGTTTTGTAGGCATTCGTTGATGTGTTAGGGGGCTTGATGAGCAACGAAATCCACTTACAACGCATGATTGCCTGTGCCAGTGCAGTATTACCCATGTCTACAGTAGATCCAGAGGTAAGTAGGTCACCTTGACCCAGTTACATAATTTATATCAAGACCACTTCATGGTTAATTTAGAGGTCCTGTAGAAAATTCTTGGTAAAAAAAGCAGTTCAGGTAAATTTTTTTAAGAATATGATTTTTATTTTTAGTATTACTTTTATCACGAAAAAGACTTTTTTCATATCCAGGAGACCCCCAGTTTGCTTATTGGGACAGTTCTTGACTATGGTGCTTTTATTAATTATCATGCATGTACACCAAAGTTGCTTATCTCCTGTGAAAAGTACAGCAGAAACACCCAGCGCAATCACATTTCACACCCTACGCAGTGAGTCACAGCTAACGCAATCAGCAGTCACACCCAACATAATCATAATTCACACCCCATACAAAATACACTTTCACACATTCATTTCATGTTGATTTTTAATTGCTAACCTGGCAGAAGTCAATAAAGGTAGATTGTATACACACATGAAAACGTTTTACTCAAAATAATTTTGTGCAGTGCTTTTGGTTTTCAATGTGGATATGTGTGGCTGGATATGTTTATTCTTTCTAGAAAATAGTATGGAAACTATAACCAATTTTCACAGCACTTTCTTTGAATGGGGATCTTTTTTCCAACACTATTCTGTTGTTCATATCTTGTTGTGAGATGTTAATACTGGTTCACCATATTCACTTTGAATCAGGGGAATTATTGTTTTTTTTTCTGTCACGATTGCCAAATAATTTATTGTTCGAATAAAAGTTGGCGGTGGTCCTTTCCTGATTAACACATCTTTATCAGTTTAAACAGTAATTTATATCAGTTAAGTGATGCTTTTGTATGTGTACTTCAATATCTCAACTTTTTTCCCTTGACACATTTTATGAACTGTACAATTTCACAAAACTTTAATGTCTGTTAGTGGTATCCAAGCCTTTTATTAATAACATTTTTCAAAAATGGGAATGGATTCTAAAAGTGCCTTAAAATAGTTTTCTCTCTTGGTTTTACGGCATGTTGGAGGTTACTGCAAAAATAAATAAATAAATAAATAAATAAATAAATAAAAAATAATAATAACAATTTTCATCTGTTGAATTAAATTGAATTTCATTAACAGTATGATTTACCACAAATTTATCATTTAGACAAAATTCATGATTTCGAGATACACCAAAAAGATATTAGTAATGACATACATGTGTGTAGATTTTTATTTATGGTTATTTGAAGGTTGTATTCTATTTACGGAATACTTAAGAAAATGAGCTTAATTCAATTTAGCCCTTCACTACATGTTTCTCTATGTGTTATATATATATATATATATATATATATATATATATATATATATATATATATATATATATATATATATATATATATTTTTTTTTTTTTTTTCCAGGTGATGCGTGAATTCCAAGAGCAGTATGGGGCAGGTGCTTCAGGGTCCAAAGTCCAAAACAAAGCCAAAGAGGTAAGTGGAAGCAGCAAGGAAGGAAATAAATTGGGAACCATAAAATTGAAAGAGACAGCAATTGTGATTGTGTTAGTGGTTATATTGATGATTGTGCCAGTGGTGAGACTGATGATTGTGGTAGTTGTGACAGTAAAGGTGGTGTTAGATATCACATAACTAATGTCATTTATTGTGTCAGAATGAATAGCTTTAATTACAACAATATGTTATTGGCAATAATGATGATTGTGCAGATTGTCACATCAATAATTATGTTAGGTGTGACATTAATATTAAATGTGTTAGGTGGGTCATCAATAATTGTGTTAGGTGTGACATTAATTTTAATTGTGTTGGGTGTTCCAGAACTATATCAGGGAATACCAGGGTGAGGAAGACCTCAATATCCAGCTTAATATATTTGCGCAGAACTTCAGCATGGTGTACGGAGGCTTCAATGACGTCAAGTCACAGATTGGGTTCCCAAGTGATGAAGGTAAGATTTGACAAGGATGCTGGCTGACTCTTACACACTAACATGAACAGGAGTTAGCCATGGTTTTGTTTTTCAAGAAACATTACATGTTGAAATATATATTCTGTGATATGTGATTCTATGGTTCTGGTTAATTTTTTTGCACAGGAGTGAGACATGATCAGCATGGTATTTGAAAAAACACTCAATTTTAGCATTTATACGTTTGGTTTATTCTCATTGTTGGGTTAATTGTTTTAGAGATTTCAATTCAGCATTACAGTCTATAGTATTACACATAATATTATAGAAAGTACAATACTCAGAATTGACAAGTCTTCACTTTTATGCATAGCATTATACAGTGTGCAACATTCATACAAGATTTTTAGTCTAATAACTGTTATCAAATACTTTCTCAGACTACACAGATGTGGGTGGGGATGAGGAGCTCCCCCTGGGGAATGAGTTCCAGATGATGGTGAAGTGTTTTGAGAATACTCAGGAAGACTTGCAGCCTGCGCAGAGATATATACTGACTAGTAAACTGCTGGAACAGCTTAGGTGTGATATGAGTGTGTTAGGTGTGACAATGAAGTGTGTTAGGTGTGACAGTCAAGTGAGTGTGTTATGTGTGATAGTGAAGTAAGTATTAGGTGTGGCATAGAGATAAATGTGTTAGTTGTGACAGTTCACTGTGTGCTAGAATTGGATGTGATGATTGTGTTAGGTGAGATATTTGCATTTGTTTTGAGGATAGTCATCATATAGTGCTGCCTGGAACCTAATTAGAAAGTGATTGCAATGATTGGGAAATCTGGGAAGCATGCATGGCTTATCTTTCTGATTGTGAGATGGTTATAATTATTCATAATGCTAGTTGTGTGCTCCGTGTTGATCGTGTCGAGTGTAACAGTTGTGATTTTGTTTTGTCTAACATGTTGATTGTTTGCAGATACTCAGTGTGCAAATAAGAACAAATGGAAAATACTCAATATGATTTTATGTTAAGGTTTTTCTTCTGTGAGATGCTTACAAAATACCAAATAGTTGAAAATTAAACATTAAATTCTTTAATGATTTTTTAAAATTATATATACATAGTACATATATATATATATATATATATATATATATATATATATATATATATATATATATATATATATATATATATAGTATAATTACATATTCTTTGTTTCCAGAATCTCGTCCAAGTCGACACTGTCCATGGAGTCGGAGCGCATGGCCCAGGAAGTGCTGGACGTGAAGTGCTTGCAGATAATGCGTGCTCTGATACACAACCAGGTGGTGAAGTTACCCCAGGACTGGCAGAGCAACTTCCATAAACGGAAAGTAAAGAGGTAGCGAAATGGAATTGTCTCTATGTCATAGATTAATGTATTTGATTAATAATTAATTTGTAATCTGTTTGATTCCTATCCCCCCACAACCCCTCCCCTCCCCCAAAAATTGAAAAAAAAAAAAAAAATACATGGTATGCATCTGGAAATGTTACAATTCACCACTTAATTAGAACTTTTAAACTGCTCTTGCTGTTATATGCATTTGTCATTATTAACCTTGATCACAAATAACATGGTTGTTATGGTATTCTCTTTTTTTGCTTGTTATATATTTTAGATCTATCCAAAGGCTCCATGATGTCCAGACAGCATTGAATGACTTTGAAACTCCACACATTACAATGTCTCTCCTGGCCAAACCTGGTGATAACATTATCAAGGAAGTGCTCTCTCTACTGGGACTGCTGCTGTTTGGCAGTATATCCAATGTACAGGTGAGGAGTGTGTTAGGTGTGCCGATGATTGTGTTGGGATGTGCAGACAAGGATTGTGCTAGTTGTGAAGTTAAAATTGTGTTAGGTGTACTGGTTATTGTGTTGTGATGTGCAGTTGGTTTATAATTATGATAATAATAATTATTATTATTAGTATTAGTAGAAGTAGAAGTAATAGCATTCTGTATCCTCATGGTTATTGATTAGTCATGGTGTACTTGAATAAAATGACATTTTTTATTTCCTTCATTATATATGTGGTAATGCTATAATAACAATAATTTTAAAACAGAAATTGATTTATATTTAAAAGTCTTTAAGTTATATATATATTTATTATTTTAGCCTAGTATAGCTGACTATTTCACTGGAACTCGTGAAGAAAAGTTTTTCTTGGCAGTCAGAGAACGAATGCAGATGTCAGCCATCAACTACAGAGAAAAGTAAGTCGAGTTATGCAAATAGATGATTTTTTTTTTTGCTGGCTCTGAGATGTCTTCACATGGCTACATCTGACGTCATACTCACATTAGAATAATTTCAAATTACTCATTATATCTTTTACTTATATATAAGCTTTCTGTCATATAGTGTGATATTTCAATCTTGTACTTATCGTTTTGTTAAATCAGTCATGCTATATGAGAATAAAAACTTTTTAAAATTTTAAGATAAAATATGAACGTAATGTTTATTTTTTCAAGTTTCTCCATCATTGAAAATGCCTTACTTTTCAAGTTGTTAATGGTATTGAATATTCTACTGTCTTCAATGCAGACTTATGTATTTTCTTCTTCCTCTAACAGGCGCGCTCTCATAGCCCAGCACCAGGCATCACAGGAGCACAAAATAGAGCAATTTAAGACCCTGCTCCGTGCCACCAGGGTGGGAACACAAGTAATGAACATTGTGCAGGCTTCCAATGCATTCAGGTCAAAATTAAGCATGCAGTCCACTGGGAAAAAGAAGGTAAGGTGCAAATGTCGTGGCATGATTTATTAATTTATTTATTTATTTAATCTTATTTAAGGAGGATGGGGGTTAGTCTGGCTGAATTATTAATTAAGAAATAACGGTATATATGTATATATGTAGTTTGCTAAAAATATTTACCATAAAATCTCATATTTCGTAAAACCAGTATACAAACATCGCTATCTAATTCAGAGAGTGACGTCTGCAGCCAAACTCAAGGGCAGATACAGCAGCCAGAGTCGGCTGGGAAGCAGAACCAGTCTGAATCGCTCTCCATCCCTCATGGGTAGCACTGCGGCCATGTTGGCTGGCTCAAAAATGAACAAAGGCCTTCTTCCCCCTATAGAGGGCGCTAACGGAGTAGAACTGAAGCAGATGAAGAAGAAAGACGACAAGCAGCCATTGTTGACTGGTAGCGGGAACAAGGTTGGCCCCGTTGGTGTTGAGTTGAAGGTGGAGGTATGTTCTTGGAGTGGATTTGGTCGGCCATATTTTGTAATCTTTCAGCTGGTCTGCTGGTCATTCAAGAAGAAACACTAACCAATTACATTTACTAGTTTATCCAATTGAATTCAGTCATTTTACTAAAAATGGTCTCCTCTGTATTATTTACTAATGTCACAGTTATGTTTTTGCCTTCCTTTGTTGGTTTATTAGTTTGCAGCTGAATTCAAAAATTATGAATGGCATTGGATAAAAATCTCAGGATAGGCCGTAAATGGGTTAACTCAATATCAGGCAGATTTTGTTGGTGATTCATAAATTAATTGATTATAATAATAATAATAAAAATTAAATTGACCTGGTGGAGGTTTGTATTCTTTGAGTGCCTTTAAACTTGCATAATTTCTGTAATAATTTTTTCCCTTTGCATCAGGATTTTGATGACAACGAACTAGAAGCTTTGGCCAAGGAAGTGGGTATAGAGGGAGCCACTGACCTGGACTATAAAGATGAGGGCTACATTACACTGGTCCTCAAAGTACTGGGGGCCATGTGCGATGGTCAGTTTGCGGATTTACAGGTATGTTATCACACTGACCGCTGGATGGACAGTTCAGCCTCATTCAAGAGTTTAACTTGTGTTAACTTGAAGACAAGATATTTTGGTATACATGTATGTCAGTTCAAATTAAATCATCTCTTTGTAGTGATTATTAATTATAAAAAGTGCAATAATTATTGTACTTTTTTACAATAAATCTCAGGTGATAGGTAGATCTCATTCGACAAGTTGAAAGATTAAAATATTGTTGTCATTAATAATAATGTAGAACTACCCTAGAAAGCACCATAGTGTCCCTTAGTTTTCCTATAGGTTATTTGCATAAAGGATTCCAATACACATTCTCATTATTACATTTTTATCTCTATAACTACAGGACTATTTGAGAGAGCAGCCAGACAACATAAAGACAGTAAACTTGGTGGGAGAAGTGACCAAATTCCTGGGTCTTGTCTATTCTTCCATTACTAGTGAACACATCAAGCTAGTGACAGCTCTCTTCAACACCCTGGTGGAAATGACTTCTGTAAGTATGGTTTATTTATTTATTTATTTATTTATTTATTTATTTATTTAATGACCTCAGTAAGTATGTTGATTGAAGACCAACAACTTTATTTATTTATTTATTTATTTATTTATTTATTTATTTATTTGTTTATTTATTTTCTATCCATCTGGAACACAGTAAATCAGAATTAAAATAAGGATTGACTACCTGAAAAGAAATGAAAGAAACGCCTAATATTAGAAAGAATAACATTAAGATAACATATTTATTTTACTAGTAGCATGTAATCTTATATCAGACTAATCTATTAAGAAATTAATGCTTAAAAGCTATAGCTGTAAATCATGTGTTTTATACTTGTTTCTCTTGTCATATTCCAGGGTAACGTGACCAACCAAGCCGTGGTGTTTGACAACAAAGTCTGTGATTACATCAACTTTATTCTGCGTGCAGACCACTCCAAGTCCATCACAGTTGAGGAGGTGAATAGCAGCTTACATGTTTTGGGGAAAGGGGGGCAAATTCCTAAAAAAATTAAAGTATTTGGGACATTATGAGCCACTGTGTCTTTTTAGAGGATGGAGATTGAATTGGTCTTGAACAGTTTTTAAGGGAATCAAAGTATTTGTTTTCATAACAAGCAAAGTATATTGCAAAAAATAACATATACTTTAATAATTATGAGGCAGTATGTCATACGCAAAGAAACAAAGATGGGTTTCTCACCAGGCCTGAAAATAAATAATAGAGTGTAACAGTTTTTGGAATAATTAAATATTAAAACATTTGTTTTGTATTCACTTCAGGACTTTGAGCTTGCAGACTGTATAGTGAACCTCATACTTGCCATGATAGAAGAGAATCATGGCAGCACGGTGGGAGAGTTTGGAGCCAAGAGGGTGGCAGGCATTGCTAAGGTAGGAAAAGTTGAAGTATGAATTGTGTTAATTGTTGTGTTTAATTTTACAATGTTGAAGAGGTGTGGATGTTGGATAATGTGATCGTATGAATGGAAATTATAACAAGTTCTCTTTTAAGATTTTAAATTTTACAATGTTTACAAAAATCACTTCCTTTAATTCCATTTTCAGTTGCGTGTGGTTTTAAAAACAAGTTTTCGAAATTTGCCTTTTATGGATTGATTCATGAATATTTGAAAAAGAATTTAGGCAGGTTCCCCGTGTGAAAAAACTGTGAAAAATTGCATCTCCTTAAAGATAGTGAAAATGGCCCTGTGATAGGGGTTCATTCTAAACATATATAACAAGTGTTGAGCTTGAATAAAAATGACATTATACTTGTGACTTTTTCTCTAGGTTATGCAAAGAGATATCATGGCAAAACGTCGTTACCAACAAGTGTGTAGGGCTGGTGTTATTTTGTATTGTATATTCAGCTATGGTGTGTGGGTTTTCAGCAGAGCATGCACAGACAACCTGGTCCAGTTTTTGACTTTTTTAAATATTTATTTTAAAATGGATAAAATTGGTGTTTTCTTTGGAGTATAAATTGTGTTTATGGTTTTGGGGATTTTTTTGAACAGCACAAAGCACATATTCATCAATTTCATTATATATTGTGTTATTTTTGTTAAGTTTGGGATTATCATACCTATGTGTTAAGTAGTGTGCATATGGTTGATTAAAATCAGTAAGTAAGGTTTGAACTCTGTAACTTCATGAGGATTGGTCACTGGTTAAAGCAGTTAAAGTTAATCTAGGTGATTAATAAGTAACATTTTCATAGTAATTTACTATTGGCAGACATTGAGTGTCCAGAAATACATAAAACATTGTGTACTGTATAAATGGTGTCAAATGATATTTTCAAACTTATCAGACCCGTAGCTAAGGGGGGTTCAGGGTTTTTTAAAGAACCGCCCTATCTTGCTGGAAAGAGGTCTCCTCTGGGTAAAATTTTATCTAGTTACATAATGGTTTCATAGTAAAAGGGTTAGGGTTTTTTCCAGAGAAAGACCGTTCCCTTTTGAAATTGCTGGCTACGGGCCTGCTTATTGTGTTGATGGTTATTCTGCAGGATGCCGTGGAGTCACTGGACACGGAGAGCATCTTCAAAATGGTGGTCAAGTACTACACTATGTCCCTGGATGAGGAGAGGTTTGAGGAGGAGGAAGAGAGGAAGAAGTATGAGGAGCTTGGGTGTAAATATTTCCACACTCTTCTGAGGATGGAGGATTTGGATAAGACTATACATCCTCAACGTAAGTTGCGTATTCGACTTGTATGGAAATGGTATGAGTGCCTAGGCCTTTCACCAAGACTGCATTCCCACAGATTTTAAATCGATCTATCCCCGTGGGGAGTCTCACTAGATTGTTGTCAGCTTAGCCGGCTTAAATGTCTGTCCCGCCTACTAAAAGCTGTAAGGGGGTAATTAACTTTCGTGTGCGATCAGCTGACAGCAATTTAGCATGAATCCCCAGGGAGTTAGGTTGATCCAGATGGATTGATCTAAATCTATGGGAACCCAGTCTAATTTTCCTTTCTGATAGACCTTTTTGTTGTGAACTGTGAGAGCTGCTTGCTAAAATGAGATGCCATTTTTACCTTTTAAAATGGACAAATTGCTTACTAGTAACAATATTGACTATTTTCTTATTATTATTATTATTATGGTCAGCATACATTTAAATCTTATTTCCCCATCTGTGTAGTACATGTAAATTGCAGGTAGGATTGTGTTAGTTGTGACTTTCATTTATGAAGTTTCTGATTGTGTTTGGATGTGACAAAAGTGGTCAGCTTTATTCACCATATTTCTTGTGTTGCCTTAAACAAGACAATAAGGAAATTTGAATTTTTATTTCACTGCAAACTCAGGTCCACCAGGTAAGATTGAAACAAGGGTTTAGAGGTTTAATTCTAGATTCAGTTCAATGCATGTTATCATGACTAAATTATCTGCATATGAATGTATACCAATTATAATTCCATTGCTTTATATTTCATATCTATTACCTCTCTATAACATTTTCTTTGTTAACAGTTCTGTTGTCTATCCATTGTTTTTACTGTGCATGTTAACTGTGGACACACATTATCAGTTTTTTTTACACAGTATATCTTTTTAGTACTGTAGAATGGACTTGGGATTTAGCTTACAAATTTAATTGTAAAAATACAAAAATGACCAGAGTTTAATTTTTCAATAAATAAATATAATAGCATGTTGAATACTCTTCTTCAGTTTGATGCCATCACCTCTGATGAAAGTTACTGAATTTGAATCATTATTATTAACAATATATGCACTGCTTGTCCTGAGACACCTCTCTGAATGTTTATATAGTACATGATTGCCATAAATACAAGTCAAATTAAGTATAATTGGTGAATATCTTGTAAAAAAGCATCTAAGTGCAGTTAAATTAAAATGTTGACATTCACTAATTGTAAGTGCCATTTGTCTGAAAACATTTACAGAAACATTTTCATACATGATATCTGAGCATTTCCAGTTAAAAAAAAATAGAGTGATGAATTATTTTCTTTTAATAGTTGAGAAAGAAGTGATCAGAACAGACGAGGACAGGGCTGCCTGGCAGTTCTACAAGGAGGGCACCATGTCCATTGAAATAGTCAAGAATGACATGCTGCAGAAAGTCTACTTCAGGGTCAAGAACCAGGTAAGAGTGTTTGATGTGGCTTGTCTTGAAAATCAGTGCCACCTTCATAAAAATGTGTCTCATTTTCAAGACTTGTTGAAAAATGTTATTTGAACAGTGATAAAAAGTTTGTATATGATGTGCTATTATACTTTATTGTGCATTTTTTTTTCTTATATTATATAATAACATATAAATTATTATATTTATTTGAAACTATTTTGAATGAAACAGACTTATTAACTGGCTGTATACAATCCTAAGGCATATAATCCCTTAATATTTGCTGGTATTGTAGAAAGTACTTCGTGGAGAAATCAAGGAGAAGTTTAAATATGAAGTGGACCGTTCTTCTCCAACGAACAAACTTCGGGACTTCCTTGCCTGGTCACAGGAAATCAGGAAAGACATCAACTACCAGAAGAGGATCTATGACAATCCTCTTGCCAGGTTCTTTGTCATGTTCTGGTCAGTCCGGTTTTTATCATTCATACTTTGATAATTTAATTGATTAGTCATTGTCAGAGGTAACAATTAATAATTATTATTTACAAAATTGTTTAGAAATTAGCACATAGGATTATTGAATTGTAGTTTTCTATTTATTTATTTATTTATTTATTTATTGTACCACCAGCGTAGGCGCTGGCGGTACCCATGGTTTTAGTCCCGACCCGTATGTTCCGCCGGCTCCGCCGGCTCCTGCGGCTCCGCCGCCAAGTCACCGTTACCGCTTCTCCTCCTAGACGGTAAGGGCCCCTGTACCCATCTCTTGGATTTAGGTCACCTATAATCTCAACTCGTTCCACGTAAAATTTGGGCTTTGTCGNCCTCTAGTTTATTTATTTATTTATTTATCTTTTTGCTTTCACTGTCATGTATTTTCTTATCAATAATTCATTTATTTTAATAAATTTTTAAATTTAAATCCATACATTTACTCAGTCATTTCTTTCTTTAACAGGACACCAGCCAATTACAGCATTATATTGATGAGTTTCTTCTTTGCCATATTCACCCTTGTCACATGGGTAGAGACAGGGGCACACATTCTAAATCAAAACACATCAGATGTCATTGATGAGTAAGTGATAATATGTCGAGGTTTTGATGATACATGTTATTGTGTACCATGACAGAGAGAGAGAGAGAGAGAGAGAGAGAGAGAGAGAGAGAGAGAAAAGAAAAGGGTGCAGGGGCGGATCCAGAGATATTTTCTGACAGTCTTCCAAATTATCTTTGTTGATCCTTCCTCCATTTCTGACCGTCTTCCGACAGAAAAAATAAGATACCTGTTAATGTAAACTTGAAAATCTGACCGTCTTCCAGAAGACCCAGAAGACGGCCTCAATCCGCCCCTGGGGTGAGAGTGTGCATGTGTGAGAAAGAGAGAGACAGTGTGGTAAGAGTGAGCATGAAGTATTGGGGATCAGGTTGTAAACTAAATTATCAAATACAAGTAATTGCATGAGCAGAAGACATCAAACTGAAGTAAAAGATAGACTTCCAGTGCATCCTTTTCCTTGCTTTTTGTTTCTATTTTTTGAGAATCCATGATCAAAAAAGAAAACAACAGAACAATGTGTCTTCAAATAGAAATAACATTTAAATTTTTTTGTCATTTCTCTTCACCAGCCCCACGCCCAAATACAGGTACCCGTACTCAGAGGTGGGTCTGTATGTGCTGGGTGGTCTCCACAACCTACTGGCTCTGTACATCTTGGTCAGCTTCTTCATCTCCAACAAACCAGTGTTCCCCAGGTGGTGCAGGTAGGTACTAACAGGAATACATGTGTGTTTCTCATTTAGAACAAAAAAATTTACTGTTTATTTTTGTTTATAATGGCTATGACATGGCTTCAGAGAAGTTAATATATGTTAAGTAGGTGGTATAAGTAGGTGCTGACGGGTATTTTTCTCTTGTTTAGAACAATTTTCTTGTTGGTGGTGTTGTTTAAAATGTCTAGAATTTTTACCAGAACATCCTGAATATATGTATAGTCAGTCAGATGCTCATCTTTGCATAGCAGTGAAGACAGTTTTTTTTTTTTTTTTTTTTGAAAACAATCCAATTTTGGGATATATTGTTCTGGGTTGCAAGTTGTTATAAGCTTGCAAAGCAGATATATTTACAGCAAAAATGATTTAGAATGATATTTTTTCAGACCAAGGAGCGATGATGATGAGGAGGATGAAAGTGATACTTCAAAGTCTGGTGCCAAAGAAGAATCAAAGCTGGCTGTTCGCTTTTTTAGTTCAAAAACATTTTATTATATTGTAAGTATATGAAAGATAAATGAGTAATCATTTAATGTTCTTAGATATTATTTAAGCCAAAGAATGAAATATGTTCAGTTTAATTTTGAAAAGTATTGAATTTATTTTTTTGCCTAATGAGATGATTTTAGACCATTCATAATACAGATTTGTGAAATTATATACTTTAACCATTCCGCAAACAGGATTTGAAAAGAAAAAAATTATTTTAATTCAAAACATAAACAATTTAATGTTTTTCCTATCTTCCTGATTTCAGATCTTCTTTGTGTTGTCCGTCCTTGGTACAGTGTTCTATGGCTACACCTTCAGCTTCCATCTTCTCCACATCGCTGCCAACAACCAGCTGCTGGCGCGGGTCATGCAGGCCGTCACCAAAAATGGTATGGCCTCTCCACTTAGTTGTCTCTGACCAGACAAGACTGTTTTAAGTCAATTATTTAAGAGCACTTTAATGTGTCTGTTCTTCAACTTTTATTTTCAAATTGCCAAGATAAATATTAAATGTTATCATGTATATTGGAAGGTCAACTAATTTGAATAACTAAATTGCTTTTACATACAGGAAGTAAACATTTAAAAGAGAGAAACTGCAGACTGTTAAAGTGTCATAAAACAATGAATCTATTCATACTTTATACAAATCTCTACTTTCAGGCATGTCTCTGATACTTGTTGGTCTCTTGATGGCCATCATCTTCTACATATATGCACTGATCTGTTTTGGGTTCTTTCGCCATCTGTTTGATAATGCCAATGGTTTGTTTTGCTCCACTGTGGGAGAGTGCTTTGTCACCATATTGCATCGTGGGCTGATTATCAGTCTCTTTGAGGTAAGTAACAATTGTTAAGTATGAAAGAGAAGAGTAAGGAGGTTAAGTGTGTGAGGGGTGATAGAAGAGAGTGTCAGATTTGTATTGCATGAATTTAATATATTTCAGGTTCTGGAGAACCCAGATGTGATAGGCGACAAAACATTTGCATACTTTGCTGTCAAGTCCCTGTTGGACCTGTCTTTCTTCATCATCATCACCACCATTGGTCTGAACATTGTCTTTGGTATCATTGTGGATACCTTCTCTGAGCTTAGGAATAGCAAGGTAAAAATGATTTTAAAAGATAATAATTTCCGTTAGTAGTATAAAACAATCATGATCATAATATAATTTATTGAACTATGAATTGATCATTTTTACCTTTGCCAGCTGGTTTTGTTATGACATATTTATGTTTTAAGAAGGAAAGTATAAGGCAATGGGTACATTAAAATCTATGTGCTATATTGAATTATTCTTGTGCTGTATTATTATTGGATTTAACTTCAAATGTGCAACATTGAGATAAATTGTCAGGTATAAAAGCTATAAAAAATTATTTTTTCAGCCTCTTACTGTCATTTGGATGTTATACCCAGAAGATATCTGATTATTTCTTCTTTCTTTCAGTGGGAGATTGATAATGACATGACAACAGTATGTTTTATATGTAGCAGAAGCAGTTATGACTTTGAGCATCAAGCATCGGTAAGAACAGGCACACTGTATTTTCTAATTTTCAACTACCTCTCATTCACAGTGCACTCACTGCACTCAAAGGCCTTGTTGTATCTTGTGGGGAATACACAGGGATTTTAAAAGTTTTTTTTTAAATACAAGTATGAGTATCATTATTTCTATTCATTTTGATTAGTCTAAGGGTGCATTCCCAGAGATTTAGATCGATCCAGGGATTGAGATTTAAATCGACCTAACTCCCTGAGGGTTCATGCTAAATTGCAGTCAGCCGAGCGTGCACCATAGTTAATTACCCCTTTACAGCTTTTAGTAGGCGGGACAGACGCTTAAGCCGGCTAAGCTGACAGTAATCTAGTGAGACTCCCCACAGGGATAGATCGATCTAAAATCTATGGAAATGGGGTCTAACTGGCTGTTATATGTTTTATAGAAACATGTCAGAATGTGCTTTAAGCTCGTTTTTGTAAAGTACCATGCTGGTAGTCTAGGTAGGTCTATGTACTCATTGACAAGTTTTCTTGGAGCCTGTTTTTATAGCAGTATTTGTTCTTATTGCAGGGATTTGAGTGTCATGTGAAAAAAGAACACAACCAGTATGCGTACCTGTTCTTCTTCATTCACCTTCACGAGAAACAAAGGAATGACTACACTTCACTGGAGCTGTATGTCTGGAAGAAGGTGAGTTCTAGTTTTAAATCAGCATAGATTATTTTTATGTTAACCTGTCTTCTTTTTGGGGTGAGGATTGGTACCTTACAAACATAAGAATACATCTTAATTATGTATTCATTAATTAATTTGTTTATTGAACAGATACTACTGTTAACCCTGTAAACAATTTTAGAAATCTGTTTCTAGACTAACAACATCTGTTATATCAGCTTGATATCTGTATATCTTCATACACTTATCACAGTATGTTTGTTAATGTTACAGTATGTGGAAGAGGATCTGACATTCTTCCCGACCAACCGTGCTCTTAGTTTACAACAGGAGGAGAATAGAAATGAGGCCATCTTGGAACAGATGCAAGCGCAGGTCACGTACATCGTCAGCAAGATGCAAGAAGAGGTAAGGAGAAATGTGGATGTGTTTATGTGTGTACGTTTTCATGTGTGGATGTGGATTCGTATATCCATACATACTATGCAGGAGTGTTTTTGTAGATAATAATATATTTGTTCAGGGGTATATCCTAGTAACAGGGAGAAATGGAGAAATCACCCGTCCCCTGTATCTTGGAATAAGAAATATAATTATATGGAGATTGGAGTGGTGGTAAAAGATTTAAGAAATTGCCATTTTTGTCATACATTATTGTTTTGGTTTAAACAATAGTTAAATTCATTTGATCAAATAGTTATGTATAATTTTGATTTCATTTTCAGGAGGCCAACAAACAGAGACTGATAGAAAAGAAGCAGCAACAACAATTTCTCCAACAAGAGAAAGCAGAGGTCAGGAGGACAGAAGAACTGTAATTAAAACAACGATAACAAGAAAGCAATAATTACAACGATCAAATGAAGAAACATATGACAGATGAAAGAGAAGTTACTTGTCAGTGCCAAAATGTGTTTAGACAAACCCTTCAGGGTGACATGGGTAACATGGTCTTCAAATCTACTGGCCCAAAGCAGAGACAGTGGCTAGAAACTTATGCAAACAAAGGATGAGTGCGAATAAGGGGGTAAAAGTGCCCACTTTTGTACATGAAAAATAAATTGTGAATGAATGGAAAAAAATGATGCCAAATTAAAGTTGGGGTCTTACACTTTTATGTTCCACTTAAAAAAATTTTTTTTATTGAATTTGAAATATAGAAAATTAATGTCAAAATGACCTTGTCATATATTCATGAAAATGTGTGTTTTAGGGGGGGTCTGAATTGCAATGCTACATATCTTTAGTTATAGTAAGGTGACAACTGTGAAATTTTGTAATTGGGTACAGAAGGTGCCCATGTAAAAAAGTAAGGCAACATGTGGCCAATCATTGCTTGTGATCAATATTTTGTTTACCTTATTTGTACATGTAGTGCTGATTGAAAGAAGAATCTTACAGTGACTTGAGGGTAAAAGATGTTCATTTTTTATATGAGCCCNAATGCATAAACTTTATAATAGCAAATTATTTTTAAATTTTGACGATGGGCACTTTGCCAATGGTTATTCGCACTCATCCTTTACAATATTTTAGTGGCATTTAGCTTCAAGGGCTAGTGTATACGTCAGAGCTAGTTATGCCATTTAACTCGGTGATGTTTAGACTATTTAGACCGTAACGGCATCAGTAGTCGTATTAAATGTATGCTTTACATCTTTGTCAAATAATGACACCATACAATAATAATAATGCATAACAATACAAAATGTTTGCTTTTATAGCATAATAAGAAAAGCTTCCACTGCCTCATGAGAAAAATATTTGTAAAAATTGCATCACAAGAAAGGCATTATTACGTAACTGTACATGAATTGTATTTTGTATTTTTATTTGTCAATGTGATCATCGTAATAATTTCCATTTGTAAAACAAATGGATAATTTAATTTGTGTTGTGATATAAAATGGTGATACCACGTTTTGATAATATATTCAGTTCATTGATACACACAGCCCCCCCCCTCCCCCCATTGGTTTGTTCATGCACAATAACCTGGACTGGAGCAGATCTAGTCGACTTCACCAGACGACCAAAATTACTTCCTAAGTGGAACGCAATATCACACCATGTAAAGATGTACAAGGGCTCTCAGGGCTGACTCGGACAAACTCTACCAGACACGATCTTGGTCCTAATGGTGTCACTGGATGACAACAATTTACAAGCTTCATAACAGCACTAGCTTTTGTTTAAAAAATTAATCAGTTGATGAAAAATTCACCAATACACGAGCTACGAGCTTTTTATTGAATTTTGTCACCCAGCATCATCATCCATATCTAAACCAGGAAAGGTTTAAGTGGCCGGACCAAACCCTTTTGAGCTTAGGGCTGGCTGTGATTAAAGTCAAGAAGTATTTATGTACCGTTTTTTAGGCATGTGTTCTTTAATGTAGCATTTGCATTAAGTTTGCATTTTATTGTATTTGTATTTGATACAAAGGCATTTTGCTGTTAGTACATGCAAGGTGGCCAGTTTTAAACACATTTGCACTTTTTATAAATGTTATGTCATATGCGCTTACCATGTACATATATGCTGGCATATATTGAGTAAATTATGTGTATAGTTTCAACATTTCTTTCCAGAAAATATAATTCATTCATCAGGTACGAAAGGAACAAATGCAATATGTTGTGGGCACCATTTTCTGATAAAATCATTTCATTTTTCCATTTCATTTATACCCGTTTGTTAAGTTAAAGTATACGTGCATTTATGAAAACTTACGTTACACTTGGATGTAATAACGAATATTATGTCCAAGCATTACATAACATCAACAGGAAGCATAAGCACTGTGATACAACATCGAACATTTTCCAAAATATTGCTCACTTCACATCAACTTTGTTTATAATAGTTTGATGCTTATTGTTGATAGGGTTATTCCATTTCTGAATATACATAAATAGTGCTTTTTTAATGGCATGCATACATTGTCATCAACTTTTTGTAAGCAAATGAGATATATTAAAGGAATAAACTTTATGAAAATAACAGTGAGTTTAAAAAGAAAGGGATTTTTGAACATACAACCACCTGTCCGGTTACCTGATAATTATTTTTTATCTTTTGTTCTGGAAAGACTGTGAAGAAAAAAAATTAAAAATTAAAACCCACACTGCAATTAAAATTCAGCATCATGGTGTGGCAATCCCTATTAAGCCCCAATCAATCACAAACAGGGCAAGATTAAATACATTTCAGAAATATTATTGCTTGCTCTTATCATTACTGGCCAGTGTATGTGCCCCAATACCCCTTAAAAATCAATTAATGAAATTGCACTTTGTTATTATGTATCCAAAAATAAATCTCAACCCATTCAGATGATGAATGTATTTAACACAAAAGAGATCATAGGTAATTCTTTATTAATAAATTATTAAAACAATAGAAAAATAAGATAACAATTTGCATGTTTTAACATGCATATTAAAATATTTTTATGTATGTTGAGATAACGTTGGGAATGAAACTGGCTCTAATATGGAACCTTACATTTTGAAATTATAGATATTGTGACACCAGTGGTTTTATACATCAGTTCACCTGAATGTCTTGAGATATGGTCGAAACACTGATGTCAGTTCAAAACAAAAAAAAAAACCAGTAGTAAAGCCAATTTCATTCCCAACTTTATCTTGGCATATTTTTATTTAAAAAATAATCACTTTTTTATTCTATAAATGATTTTATATAAATACTGTTTTTGATCAATCCGTGGATGTTTAAAATCAAACTATTTCACCTTTTTTAAAATAAATAAGCAAGTCTCCAGGTCCTTTATATTTGTAGAAACCATATAGAAAGGGAAATTTCCACAGTAACAAATTACACAATTGCATTTCACGTGATCCACAAAATTTTAACATCTGGTGTATACATCTTCCCTCCCACCTCTGTAAAAATGGCACCGTTTTACTCTTAAAGTCAATTTTTTGTAGAAGTGGTTTACATGCGTTACTGGGAATCCACGCTCCACCGATACTCGGTTCGTATGTACCTTTAATTCATGAGCAAGTAAAGGATCCAGCCCCATGTTTGTGCTTTATCACATGAAATTTGTCAATCACTGCTCCTCCCTGAAAGCAGAAAAGAGGACACAATTTAGTTTTAACGCGGTTTGGTTTTGATAAGGACAAAGACTGCTCTTCCCTGAAAGCAGAAAAGAGGACACAATTTAGTTTTAACGCGGTTTGGTTTTGATAAGGACAAAGTGAATAATTATGTTATTGTCATTTTACTGCACTTGCTAACTCACTTATTCATTTAATTATACATTTTGTGTGACAGGGTGCAGGAACACGCACTTATTTCTTATATAAAATGTACATATTATATAAAATAGGATCTTCTCAATTTTCCTTACTGATATATTTCTTGGTACAGCAATGAGTATTGGTAAGTCACAATTATAGAAGTAACTTGAATATTTGCAGCTATTGGAAGGGAAGTTTAATTGGAAATGTCAGAAAGAAAGAAAGACCAAGAACAACATGGATGGAAAACATAAAAGAATGGACTAATAAAAAATAGTGAAAGTTTACATATGGCACAAGATCCAGAAGCATGGCGATCCATGACAGTCAACCTGCTGAGTGGATATAGATAGATAGAATACAGCTTACCTGGTCATCTGACACCTGCTCAAAATACAAGTGAGTAGCATTGGTAATAGTCATCCTGGTGTAGCCATAGTCACTGCTGCGGAAGGCACTCCAATATGGCGGAGGCTTGAACGGGTCGTGTTTTTCCTTGCAGCCCTTATAGGAAGAGAGAGGGTAAACGAATCAAATGAGAAGAGAGAAGGGAATGAAGGATTTTATTCTGATTTTAAATTTAAAAATTGTGAACACTGCCACCCATGGTTTCAACCTTTTTAGTTTGGTTTAAAAAACAGTTTTAATCAAAGAAATACCAAGCTAGTCCTCTGGTCAGAGTATAGTACTGATGAAACATTTTATAACACTGAACAGGTTTCAAAAGCCTTCAAAGTAACTTATTTTCTAGGTAAACACACAGGTAAGACAAGTACAGATGTACTAAATTTGAAAAGCTTCTGTTACAAGTACAGGGAGCCAGAGCCAGCACCACTACTTTCAAACTTAATATATATGTCAGTTATTTAAGGTGAAATATTTAATTCAGAGAAGTTCCTCACCGCAGATCCAGTAATTATGTGAACAGGTGCCCCAGGGTTGGTGTATGGGTAGGCATTGCTGCCATTACATACCTGCAAGATAATACATATATCAATACACAACATTTGTCTGTAAAATTCTTTTATATCAATATGCATAACATTATACATATCCACAACAGAAATATATTTTTACAAACTATGATGTATTGATTCAAAGTAAAAACGAAACACCTTCTGAGGTGCTACCTTTATACCATTTGTCAAAAATATCACGGATTCACGACAACAAATGAAAGTAAAATGTTCATAAGCTCTTAAAAATAAAGTATTATAACCCTTTTCATAGGAATATAACCTCCTTTTATGGATCTGACCATATAATGCATTTATTTCGGCCTTTTTTCCCTACCTTCATGTTGTATATAGGCCAAAGTCTTTCATATATGTGCTCATGGGCCCAGAGCATCAGGTCTACCCCAGACTTGTAAAAAAGGCCTTCTAAGGCTGTTCTTATCTGGAAAATGAGGGTAGTTAATAGGTCTATCATGAAGCTTTTGAAGATCAGTCACAATTAGCTTTTGAAGATCAGTCACAATTAGCTTTTGAAGATCAGTCACAATTAGCCTTTGAAGATCAGTCACAATATCACGGCAAGTTTGACTGTCATACAGATGCCTTCATCACAGTAATGTCAATGAAATTATAGTGTTTATATATTGCTGCCAGATGGACTATATGCACTCTATATTTTTCAAAGGTGTAACTCATGCCTGTCACATGCCAAGTGTTATAAAAACTAACAACATCATCTGATCCTTATAAATAATCAATACAGATAGCATTCAA